GGAAGAAGCTCTGGCTCTTCACCGGTCCTGGCTTCCTGATGAGCATCGCTTTCCTCGACCCTGGAAATTTGGAGGGCGATCTTCAGGCGGGTGCGATAGCTGGAAACTCGCTGCTGTGGATTCTCATGTGGGCCACGGCTATGGGGCTCTTGGTTCAGCTGTTGTCGGCTCGGCTCGGCGTGGCGACTGGGCGGCACTTGGCTGAGCTGTGTAGAGATGAGTACCCGACGTGGGCGAGAATGGTGCTTTGGGTGATGGCAGAGTTGGCTTTGATTGGGGCTGATATACAGGAGGTTATTGGGAGTGCGATTGCTATTAAGATTTTGAGTAATGGGGCTTTGCCGCTTTGGTCTGGGGTCGTCATAACCGCTTTGGATTGGTATTTGAACTCTATTTGTGTTTTTGGTTCGTCTTTCTTTGAATTTTCTCAGTTCTTGAAAATCTGAATTTGGGTTTTCCTTTTTGTTATGAATTTTGATTGTCTTCGGGTAAAGTTTTTTTTTTTGAGCAAATTAAATTTAATGTGCAAGCAATTTCTGTGGCTTTTCTTTGATATGAGTATGTTTGATTCTTTCACAATTTTCAGAGGGCCTGTGGTTTCGGCTCTTTCTGTTGTTGTGTTAAAGTTTTGAAGTTCTTAGTCAGCCAGTTGACTTAGTTCAGTTTATAGAAAGATGTAGTGTTGTTTGAAACCAGGAATTTGAGAGTCTATTCAAAGTGAAGGATTGAATTCTGCTTGGTTGCCTGGAAAATCCAAGATTTAAAAATATTTCATTTCTGGAAAGTGAAGCTCATTTCAACCATGCCGAATAGATTTATTAGTTCTCGCTGACTAATTTTCAGTTTTTAAGGTTCAAAAGAATAAAGTTTCTGATAGTCCAAGCTTTTAGTTTCTTTCTTTTCCTGCATTGTCTTAGAACTGAACCAAATTTTTTTTCCTTGAACTTGCAACTATTTTAGAATTGATAACTCGAAAATAATTTAATTTGTTTCCTTGCTACAGTTTCATCTTTCTTTTTCTTGAAAATTATGGTGTGAGGAAGCTGGAAGCAGTGTTCGCGGTTCTGATTGCAACAATGGCACTGTCATTTGCATGGATGTTTGGGGAAGCTAAACCCAGTGGCATCGAACTTCTTATTGGTATTGGATTCTACTCCTCTATCTGTGATTTTTCTTATCAGTTATATATATATATATATATATATATATATATATATGTAGCAATAGGTGATTCAGGCCAAAAGGGTCGTGCTACTTTGCACCTCTTCATCTAATCTACTATTATGTGGATTCCTCTTTGTAGGTATTTTGGTTCCTAAACTTAGCTCCAGAACAATAAAGCAGGCTGTTGGAGTTGTTGGTTGCATAATTATGCCTCACAATGTATTCTTGCACTCAGCTCTTGTACAATCAAGGGAGATTGATCACAGCAAGCAAGGACGAGTTCAAGAAGCTCTCAATTACTATAGCATAGAGTCCACCATTGCTCTTGTTATCTCCTTCGCTATCAACCTATTTGTTACCACTGTGTTTGCCAAGGGGTTTTATGGTACAGACCTGGCAGACAGTATAGGCCTTGTAAATGCAGGGGAGTATCTTCAAGAGAAGTATGGGGGTGGGGTGTTCCCAATTTTGTACATCTGGGGTATTGGGTTGTTAGCAGCTGGCCAGAGTAGCACTATTACAGGTACCTATGCAGGGCAGTTCATTATGGGAGGTTTCTTAGACTTGAGATTGAAAAAATGGATGAGGGCTTTGATTACACGAAGCTGTGCAATCATCCCAACTATAATAGTTGCTCTTGTATTTGATACATCAGAGGACACATTAGATGTTTTGAATGAGTGGCTTAATGTGCTTCAGTCAATTCAGATCCCGTTTGCACTTATTCCCCTGCTTTTCTTGGTGTCAAAGGAGCAAATCATGGGAGTTTTTAAAATTGGCCCTGTTCTCAAGGTATGTTATTTCCTTTGTTCTGCATCTAGGCCATAAAGTCCATAATGGCATTTGCATTTCAAATTTTTGTATAGATTTTAACAATAATGCCCGGTGATTTTTCTGTCTATGCAAATCAGGTAGGTTTCCCTTTATACATAACTAGCAAACCGCAAAAATAAGTGCACTGCCCCAAGACTTGAGAATCTATTGCACTGATAGAATAATACGATAACTGTCGCCGTAATCTAATTGTAAGATAAATCATGGTTGTGTGCTTCAGATTTGGTGATAGAACAGCATTTTTAGTGGACAAACGTTCAAGTGCTTCATTAATTATTCTGTAATACTTGGTTGAATGTTTTTCTTTCTCTCCCTTTACCGTTCCATGGGGTTGAGAAAAGAAAGAGTCTCACCTGCACTGAATTTAATAGTCTAGCTGAAAATAGAGTTTAGATTACTCGTTTCCCTTATGTTGATTAACTTCATTAGTGATAGATCAAGAATCAAGGAATATTCCTTTGAGGTGAATGGTTGCTTGTTATCTTATTTCAATTTCTGATTACGCTGTGGCAGTTTTCAGTTCCTTTGTTAGATAAAAGCATCTCAAATTGATTATACCATGATGTACTCAAGCTGTTCTCCCTTTTTTTTTTTTTTTAAAATTGTTCATGAGTCAGAAATAAGCAAATTATGGTTGAATTGCTCACATCTTTTTCTTTATTGTCTATGAAGATTGTTGCGTGGCTTGTGGCTGCCCTGGTGATGGTGATCAATGGTTATCTTCTGCTGGACTTCTTCTCGTCTGAAGTGAATGGGGTGCTTGTTGGCTTCGTAGTGTGTGCTTTCACAGCTGGGTATCTAGGATTTATAGTTTACCTTGTTTTCCAGGGCATCGACTTTTCAAGTTGGTGCGGATCAAAGAGGTTGCAGATCCAGTGAACTGAGTAATCACCAATGCCAACTTCAGTTGCAAGACAGATCTTGCGGTACTTTGTGTAATTGCCACAACCTCAAGGGCCGTCGGGACTACATATACACACAACTTTTGCTGATAAGAAGCATAAGCTTAGTGTTTCTTCTGTATGATAGAACTTGTTTATTGCCTTCGTTGTATCCAGAGAACAGAGGAGGCTAGAAGGCAAACTGGTTATGCTACTGATACTTGTAGTAGCATAATGCTGTAGTTGTAACATTGTATCAAGTAAATCCTGGCAAAATGTTGGAATTAGCCTTCGACACTATGTACGGAAATTATTTATTCAAGGGTTTTTCAAGGGAGCTGATTTTTCATTGTCTCAATTTCCATGTAGATTGTTGCACCAAATAGTTACAACAAGGTATGCAACAACAAAAGAACTACCAAGCCACTAAACTAAGAGGAGAAAACAGCAAACAGATGAACACAACAAACCTAAGAGGAGGAAGCAAGCCTACGCAATGAGGGCTGCCAAGAGACATTTAGCCCAAGTGGTCACACGAATAATAATAAGATAAGACCAAACTCCTTCAAAGTAAGGGCAATTACTGATCGTAGGAGGCTGCCAACCTTTGATCCAGCTGGCAATAAAGGGTAGGTGGTTTGAAATGCAAGAGGGGAGAAATTAGCAAGAGTACTGGGAAAATTGAGAAGCCAACAACCTAAAAGCATCCACAATCATGTTCTTTATTTTTTAGTTAAAATTTAATTAAAAACACTAGAAAACTATTTTAGGAGCTTTTTATAAAATTTCAACTCCACCCATGCTTCCTAGTTTAGAAAATCATAAATGATTTATTTCTTTTTTTAGTTTAACATAAATGCTCCCTCTTCATATAAAATAATAATAAAAATTAATCAGCATTAAATAAATTCTTAAATTAGCATTACAATAAAGAAGAATTTAATTATAGAGAGTCACTAAGAGTTTTTTTTCTCTCTCTCTCTCTCTCTCTCTCCCCTCAGATTTAGGAGCTTCTAAAAGTCTCCCTGTTTTAGGAGTTGGATAGGGAGCATGATTGGAGGTGGAGTTTTTCAATTCCTCCCTAAATGATGTAGTTTAGAGAGTCTATTGTGAATGCTCTAAGTCCTCCAAATTTTATTTATTTATTAATACAAGGGATAGTCTAAACTACAAGGAGATGGAGGTTTCTTATATACACACATTATCAAAGTGTCATTGAGGTTTGAACTAGCAACCGCTAGTCTACAAATTAAGGCCCTCTTTCACTAGGCTAGATCCCGTTGATTAAATCCTCCAAATTTTATAAGGAAGAATGTACCCCCAATTTGTAGCTCTAGGGGACCAAGCACTCTCCAGGGCTGCCCATCATAGATCCTGCTTTCCCATCCATCATTTGCTGCATAAATAAATATTTTCACAACATATTTTTATTTTATTTAGACAACTCTTATCCGCACTATAAAATGTTTTATTATTTTAAAGGGTGCACGATCACATTTTTTTTTTTTTGGTGAAATGGGGGGGAAAACCACAAACAAACAAAACAAACTAACCAACACAAATCAACCGGGGCCTAGACACCCCTAACAAATCATTCACCAAAGAAGTCCCAATCCAACTTGGAGCCTCACCAAAAACACAGATACCAAGATCTAAGTTATAACTCCAAGCAGCCACATTTTTTTTTTTTTGGTCTGAACCACGAGGTGGTCCTGGATGGGCTCCAACTATGGATGGCACCTTTAAGCCTTAACCACAACCCAGACTAATCCCCGTTCACACCGGGTCGGCCCGTAAGGAGTAAAGTGCTGGCCAAAGTGGTGACTCCATACGAGAGCAGGGATCGAACCCCTGACCTCTCTTAAGGAATGAGAGTGCCGAACCACTCACACCAACCACCTTGGTTAAGCAGCCACATTTTAGAGTGCAAGTAACAGCTCCTTTTATTTATTTTTAGTTTTAGTATTTATTCATTTTTGTTTTTGTCATGGACGAATTCAATTTGGCTCATTAATGGTCAGTTCACTACCCGGATTTGACTGATGGGCCCGGCCCAACCCGACCCAAAACCAACTGTCAAGTTAAATTTGCGGTTATACGCGCCTGCATAAACAAACAGAGCCTTAGGGTTCGTTCTCTCTGTACACTGTTGCAAGAAAGAACAAATTAGCTCGAGCTTATGCCCAGCGATAAAACGTTTTCCAGAAATTACCGACTTTGCCTACGATTACATTTTCATGCTTACCCATTTCTCAAATTCAAACATTCGTATTAGGGTTTCCGTACATTTTTCTGCTTCTGTGCCTGTACTTTTTTAGGGTTTATATACATCTTTCTCTGCTTATCGAGGTACGCTACTACATCCCCTCTCTCGTTCTTTTTTTGTTTTTTTATTCACTGCTTACCCATTTTGCATTGCTCTTGCGCATGAACTTCTTGTTGAGACCTAGGTTTGTGTTCTTTCTGAGACAAAAGAAAAACGAGTAATCAATAAGCTTGAGACAAAATTGGTTCTAATGGGTTATGGGTTTATATTTTATACCTTGGATTGAATGCAAAATGTGTTTTCTTTCAAATTTTATTTTGTTGAGCTTGGAATTGTGTATTCACTTTTTGTATTTTAATATAGGTTTGGATGCTATTTGAGTTCTGATTATAATACATGTGAAGTATAGTGGTATAGGAGAGAGATGAATATTAGTAAATGTCCCTTGATGTGAACATATTGCAAACAGAAACATCTGTGTAATGGCATTGAGAACAATGACAGATTCCAAAATGAGAAGAATGAATCATGAATAGAACAGTTTTGTTCTTTGGCTCGTCTAGTGTCCTTTTTGTTGTCTTTGTTTTCTGTTAGTCCATTTTTGTACTTCTTTCTGTTTTTAATGAAGGTACTGGTTTCTTATCAGAAAATGTGATATGTCAGTTAAGTCAAATGCATGCAATTTTAAGTCCATTTAATAGGAAATTGTATACACTAATGTTATCACAAATCATTGTTATTTCTTGCTCAGCATTGAACGAAAGCATCATAAACTTTGAACATGAAGCATAAACTTTTTGCACATTCAAGTTTTTTAATTCAACATCGAGAAGAATTGAATAATTGATACAGTGACAGTTTTCCAAAGTTTACCCATACTTTTTTAATAATCCTAGAATCCTATCAAGGAATCTCTGTGGTTTTTAGCGTATCTATTGTTCTGCTAAAGAGAGTTTATTTTCATGTTTCCATTGTGTCTCTTGAAACAGAAGCCTGCATTTGCAGTAACCATGGTTGATGCAGAGCAAGTAGTGGAAGGTGATGCATCAAGCTGTCTAATAGATCAGCTTGGTAAGGCATTACTGGAACTAAATGCTCACAAGGATACGTCTGAGGGCAGGGTTCAGTGGACAGAAATTGAAGAGTACTTCCACAACCTTGAAACAACACTGAAGAAGAGATTTGAAGAGCTTGAAGTCAAGGAGAAGAAATTTGAGGAGCAGGAAGCTGAAACCTGTGCTTTGCTTATGGAGAGAGAGGAAGCTGTTACTGCTAAGGAGCAAGACCTGTTGGATCGAGTGCAGGAGCTAAAAGATGCTGCAGTTGCTGCTATTGCAGAGGCACAAGCTATTCACCAGCCAACAACTTCAGAACCCGTGGAGGATGGGGATAACAAAAACAGCAAGGTAAGCAGCTCTCTCGGTGATACAAATTCACCAGAGGAGGAATTTCCTCATAAAACAGTTGATAATGCTGAGGGTGTGGCTCTTGAGGTTAAGCCACGCCCAGAGCTGACCCAATTTTGTGAGCAGATGGATGCAAAAGGGCTTCTGAGTTATGCCACTGAGAATCTTAAAAAACTAAGCGTTATTCGTGAGGAACTTTCTCTTGCACTAGAAAGTGCAGGTGAGCCAGCACGTTTAGTGCTGGATTCACTGGAGGGGTTTTACCCTCCTGATGAGACTAACCAACCAGAGGGTAAGAAGGATGCTGCCCTTCAGGGCATGCGCAGATCCTGTCTCATGTTTATGGAAGCCATGGCCACCTTATTGGCAAAGGCTGACCCAGGTGCTGATCACCTTTTGAACCCTGAGACCAAGCAGCAAGCCAAAGCAATTGCTGATGAGTGGAAGCCTAAGTTGGCTAGTGCAGGCATTGATGCTGCCAATGGAAATTCATTGGAAGCAGAGGCATTCTTGCAGCTCCTCGCAACTTTTAGTATTGCTTCAGAGTTTGATGAAGAAGAACTCTGCAAGCTTGTTCTTGCAGTTGCTCACCGCAGGCAGACACCTGAGCTCTGCCGCTCCCTTGGGTTAACACACAAAATGCCAGGTTGGTCATCTTTTAACTAACTGACCTGATGCGGTCTGGAGGCTAAGTCTTTGTTTCCATAAGATGTCCTATCGGCCTTGGTAGTAAATTATGTTAGCTGAGAAGTAGAGGCAGGTGCAACATTCATTTTGCTACGTAATGATAATTCTTTTCTGGTAAGATGGGTTATTCGAATTTTGGATGCAGATTTTTCTGAAACTCCATAGTCTCTTGCAGGTCTTGTTGAATCAATGGTCAGAAGTGGGAAACAAATTGATGCTGTTCGTTTTATTCATGTCTTCCAGCTTACTGAAAGTTATCCCCTTGTGCCACTTCTGAAGACGTACTTGAAAGACTTGAGGAGAAATTCCCAAGGCGACAACACGGGAGATGCTACTGGTGCACAGGTATATTTTAGTCGACCACAGACTCAAAGCTTGTCAATAGAAATATTTTTCTGATGATCTCTTTTTGTTGGTGTTCAAAAAAAAAATGTAGGATGATGTTAATGCAAAAGAACTTACTGCACTGAAGGCTGTAATAAGATGCGTTCAAGAGTACAAGCTTGAAGAGGACTACCCCCTTGATCCACTGCATAAGAGGGTGGTTCAACTAGAGAGATCCAAAGCTGATAAGAAGAGAACTGGTGAATTTGGTAAACGCCAACAAGTAAAGAAGCAGAAAGGCAGTGGAAGATGGCGTGGATACCGTGGCCCTGGTGCTGCTGCTGCCCCTGCCCCCGCTGCTGGTAGGCATGTGCAACCAGTTTTTGGTGAGAGGGCAGCATATGCTGGGATATCGGAGAGGTATGCTCTTGCGGGTCCACGTGCCTATGATTACCAAGTTCCCAGCCAGCCTGCATATGCTTCACAAGCTAATGATCAAAGGTTATATTACTATCCTTCCCAAGATGACAGAGTTCCACCAGCATCTTATAATGCTACTCCTCCTAATTATGGCAGTTACGCCGGTAGTGGGTTGCCTTCGCAACACCAGCCGTACATGTAATCTACGTATGCAAGTATTGTAGAATAGTAAGCCAGCGTATGGCAGAAGGCAGGACAAACACATCGGATAACCATTTTGCTTCTCCTATGTAGGCTTGTATTTTGATATGCCTTGCACAGATGGTACTTTGCTCTTCTGAATCTTAATCAACAAAAATATTTTGTTTAGCTGACATCGGCTCATGATAAACTTGTGAGAAATGAATTTGTTGAAAGAGACGCTTTGCTCACTCCATAGCAGATAACTGTAATTTGTTGGATGGGATGGGAGGGGAACCATGAGCGAACAAATGTTTCTTTGAAAGCACAATTTTGTTAATGACCTCTTTTTTGTTTAATTCAAAGGAGATTAGGAGATGGGGATTCGAAAAGAAGACCTCATATGAATGGGTAATTGTTCTTAGTTAATTGAGTTACAAGCCCCTTTTACTTTGTTAATTACCTTTGATTATTGATTAAACATGATTAATTAGGTTTATTGTGTTATTAATTTGAATCAAGTTTTATCTTTTCCATATTAATTTTTCTTGATAGATTGAAAACCAAGTAACCCAACACCTACTTCGGTTGTAGCGTCTAATTCAAACAGGAAAACAAAATAGGGATAAATTAAAATTAAAGTATTTTTTTAAAAATAAAAATAAAAATAAAAATTATACATGTTATTTTTGTTTCTTTCTGATGAGAGCAATCTGGTCAGAAACTGAAAAACGAATTTCGTTGTGCACGCTGACTTCCCTCTCTTCTCAAAAGCGCTGGGAAAAACTCTGTCCTTGTCATCATCATCGTCTTCTTCTTCTTCTTCTCTATGTGAAAAAGGCTCATTTCCCGATCTGGCATCATTTGCACCATTCGACATCTCTCAGCTGCAACTCAATGGCAGCGACACCAAGTCACCTCATCTCAACCTCCATCTCCATCTCCATCATCCTCCTCATCTTCTCATCGCTGATGGAGTTTTTGGTTCTGGCCTCAGCCAATCCCACCAGCCCTGCGCTTCTTCTCCATTCACTCCCCGCCATGGTCTTACCTCTCTACCTCTCCACCCCTAATTCTTCGTGTAGGACTTCTTCCAATCCTCGTCGACTCCTCCAGAGATCCGAGTCCCTCAACCGCCCCAACGCCCGCATGAGACTCTACGACGATCTCCTCCGCAATGGGTACGTACCGCAAAACACCTTACATTCTTCTCTGTTTATTATTATTATCATTATTGTTATTCTCAGTTATTCGGGTTGAGTTTGAGATTGGTATTTGGATTGGCATTGAAATTGTGTGGTGGCGGGTGAAAGGTACTATACGACGCGGCTTTGGATCGGAACGCCTCCTCAGAGATTTGCGCTTATTGTGGATACTGGGAGCACTGTCACCTATGTGCCTTGCGCTTCTTGCGAAATGTGTGGCAGACACCAGGTCAGTTCTGCATCAACACATTCATCCGCTACATTTACTCTACACTCTGATCAAACAATTGTATTAACTATGGGATATGTTAATATAAGTTTTTCTCTTGATATCGAAACCATTTGTTGCGGGTTGCATTTGAGGTTAGGATCAGGTCTCCTTGCTTACAAGAAGAAATCTAGCCAAACATGTTCCAATCACATGAAAAAGTATAAACCGGGGAAATTTCGGGGGAAAGGGGGGTTGATCATGATCACTCTTCTAACCCAAAAAGATCTTAACAACCTTGAAGTTGATTATTTCTCTTTACTACCAAACCTCTACTGAATATTTAGTTCTCTATGCAGACTTAACATAATAGATTTTGGGGGTTAAACAATATTAGTGTTTTATTTTCCACTTTTCATCAGGACCCCAAGTTCGATCCGGAAGAATCGAGCACCTACAAAGCTGTCAAGTGCAACATAGATTGCAATTGTGACAGTGACAAGGTGAATTGTATTTATGAGAGACAGTATGCCGAAATGAGTACCAGCAGTGGTGTGCTTGGTGAGGATCTTGTATCATTCGGCAATCAAAGTGAACTTGCACCTCAACGTGCAGTTTTCGGTTGTGAAAATCTTGAAACTGGAGACCTCTACAGCCAGCATGCGGATGGCATAATGGGATTGGGCCGTGGCGATCTAAGTGTGGTGGATCAACTTGTTGATAAAGGTGTAATAAGTGATTCTTTCTCGTTATGTTATGGTGGAATGGACATTGGTGGAGGTTCAATGGTTCTTGGTGGTTTCACTACCCCATCAGACATGGTCTTCACCCATTCGAACCCTGTACGAAGGTGTGTGGTTTAGAAAACTTTATCTCCTACATATACTGCAACATGTCCAATTTCCTAGAAAATACAATCAATACATCTCACACATTTACTCTAGTTTCGGGATGGAAACAGTCCATATTACAATCTTGATTTGAAGGAGATACATATTGCGGGAAAGCGATTGTCTTTGAATCCAAGTGTCTTTGATGGAAAACATGGAACAGTCCTGGACAGTGGCACAACATATGCTTACCTACCAGAAGCAGCATTTCTAGCATTTAAGGATGGCGTAAGATTCTCTTCTGCCCTTGTTGATTACTTAAGATTAAATATTGTCTTAATTTTGTACAAGACCATATAATAAAATATTCTTGCTTGTCCTCAACCTTTTCATTCTATTAGATGATATCTTGCAGTTCTTTCTGAATGATAGTTATTAAAAGTCTCATTTGAAATTGATGAGCATGTGGTCGACTAGAATTGACAAAGCGGACAAGCAATAATCTGTAATGAAATTTGGTATTAATCCATGACTAGCTGTTCATAGAACTTTAGTTATGTATTATTTCATTGAATGGGCGATCACAGTACCACCAATGTCTTAACTTCTTTTTCCCCTTTTTCCTTATCCTTATATGTGATTGCAGATCATGAAGGAGCTTAGTTCCCTCAAGCAGATCCGTGGCCCTGATCCAAACTATAATGATATTTGCTTCTCAACTGATGAAAGGTATCACATGTAGAAAACTAAGAGCTTATTTTGTTATACAGATAAGTTATTGCCTATTCTGGTGCAAACTAGATTATAAGAAAGCCCATCGAGGTCGCAATTGCAATTTTTTACACTAAATTTTTTGATTTGTTCAAATACATGAATAAGTTGTGAATAAGGTCACAAGCTGTTTTTAATAGTTTTATAACAATTTTGATTCAGTGAGGTCTCCCACCCGTCAGACACCTTTCCAACAGTTGACATGGTATTTGGCAGTGGAAAAAAGTTGACATTATCTCCTGAAAATTACTTGTTCCGGGTAAGTGTTGAAATTTAAGCTTGCCCCTTCCCTTCTTCCTCAAAACACTTGTTTCTAAACCACATAAATTGTAATTTTTATTATGCAACTTTATGACTTTTCCATTGGTTATTTGATGTCGCTAATTGAATTCTTCTACTTTATTGTAACATCATCAATTATAAAGCATTCAAAGGTCCGTGGTGCTTACTGCCTTGGGGTTTTCCAAAATGGAAAGGATCCAACTACTCTTTTAGGAGGTAAATGCTTTACAAATGGTCCAGAATTCTCTATCTTACTTTTGTGAATTATCAAATTTATCCCATTAACTTTATGCAGCACTCTCAATTAATCTTGTTATGCCATGTTTATGATAGGAATTGTTGTCCGCAATACTCTTGTAACATATGACCGTGAGAATTCCAAAATTGGTTTCTGGAAAACTAATTGTTCGGAGTTGTGGGAAAGACTTCACGAATCTGTTTCGCCGCCAGCAATGCCTCCTGCTTCTGGTGACAAGAATTCAACTCCAGGAGTGATGCCTACACTAGCTCCAACTGGAGCGCCGCCTTATGTACTTCCAGGTAGTATTCCAAGTCTTTCTTTTCACTGGCATGGATGCCTCATTTTTTACTTGTCCTTAAAATTATTTCTGTTATATCATATTCATCTTACAGTTGTGTAGGTTTACTTATCCAATTACTCAAATGTAAAAATGGAGATAAATCTGAGGCAAACAGGGGAAAGTGAAAATAACATATTTGGGAACTCTCTTCTCTTCTCTTCTTAAGTTTAATTTTTGAACTTTTCTGTTATCATTTCTTATTATTTTTTATGTCAACACAAGTGTAGATTTTTAATAAGAGAAATGTGATTTTATGCTGCACTCTTTTTTGAAAAGACAGACTTATTGCAATCCCCCATTTTTTATTTTTGTTTTAAAGACAAATGAATTACAATGTCTCGTTAACCTTGATGGACAGGGGAACTCCAAATTGGAAAAATAACATTTGATATGTCATTGAACATAAGCTACTCTGATCTGAAGCCCCACATTACAGAACTAGCTGAATTCATAGCTCAGGAATTAGAAGTTAATACATCACAGGTCAGGAAGAAACCACATGTGCTTATTTGATTGATATTTACTTTATATTTTCTCACTGATAGTTCAATACTGTCATACTGACAAATAAATGGATAGATATCCTCTGTTGATAATCAAGTTTTATGACTTTTAAGTGCATCTTCAGCTTAGGGTGCCAAATTTGAATGGATTATTTCAGGTTCATATGTTGAAATTTGCTGCTAATAGAAATGATTCCCTCATTAGTTGGGCCGTATTTCCAGCAGACTCTACTGACAGCATTTCCAATACAACTGCAGCGGTAAGTTTGTGCTTTTGAATTGCAATTAGTGTTTGTGCCGACGTTCATAAGTGTTTGTTTGCTTGATCCCACAGGTTATAGTTGCCAGGCTCGCTGAACATCGCTTGCAGTTTCCTGTTATGTTTGGAAGTTATGAGTTGCTTGGATGGAGAGTTGAGCCTAAGGAAGAACGGTAGTTTATATTTACATATCTTTCTTATGTCCTTCCCCCTTTTATACTAGAATATAATGGAATCGAGAAAAATCTCCTATACGAGTGTTGGCATATAGATAATGATTTTAATGAATAAGCTTAGCTATCTTGCTGTTTAAGAGTTAGGCTGCAATGCCTACATCCAACAAAGAATAATATGTAACAATAAGATGCATGCCATCTATGTTGGTGCATGACTGGAGGTCCAAATTCCCTGTTGATGCATTCAGAGTAGTTCAATAGAGATCACAGTATCATACATAGCAATTTTCGTAATATTTTGTTATTCTGAAATTGTGCAGGTCATGGTGGCAGCGCAGTTATGTGGTGGTTTTATCCATTTTAGGAATTCTAGTGATTGCATTATCAGTTGTTGGATTGTGGTTTCTTTTGAGACACCGACAACGGACAGTCAATCCATACAAGCCTGTCAATGCTGCTGTTCCAGAGCAAGAACTCCAGCCTCTCTGAAAATTTTGTGGCTGTCTTTGCTTGTGGTTGACGGCATGGCATGGCATGTCTGCCATTTGCATTTTGATTCACATGATTAGTTACCAACCAAATTCTGTAATCACAATTACTCAGTTGATCAAGACTCTTGCTCCTTAGGTTGAAGAATCATTCTTTGCAATGCCCATGAAAGGATGCGATAAATTCAGATAGTATAGAGAGAGAGAGAGAGAGAGAGAGAGAGAGATATATATATATATATATATATATAGGTAGAACTACTCACACTTTGGTTCTGTAGACATCATTCAATTTGTATGTGAATATTTGTAACACACAAGTGAATCAAAAGTTTTCCCAATAAAAGGCTTCTTTTCAATCTCTTGTTTTTTGAATTATTATTATTATTGTTTTCCTGTTTTATACAGGTCATGTGACACCATGGACAATGATTTTTATTTCACAACCGAATGCAAATCGACTTGCCTCATGTTGAGAAATAATGCATTTACATAAATAAAAAATTATTTATAAAACAATATGAAATCATCTAATTGTGATAAAACATAAATGATCATATGTTATTTACGAGTAATTATAACGTGGTAATGAAGTACGCATGTGGTATAACTTGTCCACATACTATAATATAAGTGAAAATTTATTAATATTATACCCTAAAAGTGAATGTGAATATACCCTAACACAGAATAGTTAATCTGTTAATCTAACGGCCGTAACTATGTTGACATGCATTGTGAATTTGCACTGCAAAAGTGTCCGATGAACAGGGTTCATATTGATGATAATGACTGAAATAATAAATGATGATGTCTAGTCTACACACACACATATTTTATATATATATATATACTAGTTAATGGCCTAATATGAATGATTATATGAGTCGTTGGAAAGAGTCCTCGCAAACAAGTTGGAAGCAGTTTCTGGGAAATAAAATAGAAGCTTCAAAGTTGACATTTTGGGGCGGTCCCTAACTTTCTCTATCTTGTTGGAGTGGAGGGAAGAATCTTCTTCTTCTGGTCAAATGAATTTTTTTGCGACATAAAAGTCCAAATGGCCATTTTTGTATGAAATGCCTGGCCACTGGCCGCAGGGTGCCATTCATAAAAAGTTAAAACACGAATATTTCTTTCTTCTCTCTCTCTCTCTCTCTCTCTCTCTCATCCAGTTCTAGAAATCATTGCTACCTTCTTCTGCGCAGGAATTCGTATTGCATCGTATTCTTCTTAATAATTTTTCGCCTTTGCTTTATTTTCACACTTTTCTAAAATTACTAGCATCAATTATTTCTTAATTTAATCTTTACAATATTGGAAGAAAATCCCCCACTTGCTGATAAAAAATAATATATATAAAAAGAAAAATTGAGATATTCTGGTAGCAAATGGAATAGCATTACTACTGAGTTGTCAGTTTTCAATCATTTTGGTCTTGTCTACCTTTTATTTTAATTTCGGTTCCTCTAGCCTTTTCTTTTCCATCTCGTATTTCAAAACATATTATTGTCAACTTGGTTGCTATAAAAGTGACATTGCCATGAAACTCTGGAAGAAAACGTATTTCAAAATAAGCATAAATTGTATCTGTTCTGTACTAGGAAACCAAGATAATTAAGCATGACAAGAAAAATGATCGTGAGAGGGTGTATGTATCTATGGACGCAGGCTACCATTTAGGGATATATTTGGCATTTTTTTTTTGTAGAAAAAAAGTATTTTCCATTTCTTCAATTTTTTTGTTTTTGTGTGCCAATGAAGGTATTTCCATGATAAACAGGTAAACCAGCCCCATTTGGCGCCTACCAAATGAATCCCAATTTCAGTCAAAAAAATTCATTTGACATACTGCATAAAGTAATCATATTATTATTTACTAAAATAATTCATTTATTTATTACAAGATAAACATGTAATGACGAGAATGTCCCACTCTCCAACTGTGCAACGAGCCCCAGCTCGAGCAGGCAGCAACTGTATATCTTCATTTCCAAAACATAATAAAATACTAAAAGAAATTTTAAAAGTGAGACTCTCTGAGAAAATTAGACAGAGAGAAAGAAAATTCTCAAGCAGAGAATTAGGAAAAATCTAGTAGCTGGTCTGGAGGTCTGGGTTTGAGAAAGGCGAAGGAGAAAGAAGGATTGCCCAAAACGACCTTTTCTTGGTCATTTGCCTCTGCGTTTGAGGCTTTCAGCCAAATCCAGGTACAGTTTTATTTGTTCATATTCTTCAGCTTGATCCAGCTAGGGTTTTTGAATTCTATGAACGTTGTATTTTACTCTGTGCGCCAATTTTTCTTGTTTGACTGCTTGTGCCTGCATTTAGAGTTCAAATTTGGTCAATCTGCTTTCCAATTTATTCCTGCTTTAGTTGGTTGGACTGTTACTCAGTTCAAGCACTCGAATCCCATTCTGGGTCTAATGGGTGTGTGCAAATTTTGAATTTTCAATTTCAGAAAGATCACGCAAACATAGATAAATTTAAAGAAAAGAATTATCTTTGTTCATTTTTAAATTGGTAATTGTATATGTGCTTTGTTTTTATAATCTGAATGGTGGTTCTTTTTGGCTGTGATGAAAAGCACATATGGGATACAACAAATTGGAAATTTGGGATGTGTATATGAGCTGGATAAGTGGTATAATTAAATTGACTATGCTTCTTGGGGTCTTTTACTTTTATTAGATCATAGTTGTTGGTTTGGGCAAGACGTTATCAAGGCGGGACGCGGGAGACTTTCAGATAACTAATAAACTTGGTATCAGTATATGATTATATGCCCTAATGATGTACATATGTCAACATGTAGTAGAGCTGAGAATTTAACAAAAGTTAGGATTTATGAAATGACATATCCTAATTTCCTTGTTTGGGTTCATAGGCAAGGAAGTTTATAAATTCTATGTGGAGAAAAAGAAAAAAAAAAAAAACCTTCGGACTTGGGGATCATAAATCTTAGTTATGTGGAGAAAAAAAAAAAAAAAAAAAAAACCTTCGGACTTGGGGATCATAAATCTTAACTCTAAATTTCAGCTAAATAAGTGTCATTTCCAAATTATGAAGACAATGAGAGTATGACAAAAAAGCCACAACCATCACCACCAACCTTCTTCCATAATCGTCGTCGGCACATCCACTGCGACCACCCTTCCATTGTTGTCACCATCATTAAACCACAAGCATTGCCATCACCACTCCCACCTTTCCACTAGCACCACCAGCAGCTTCACTCTCGTTGTTGTCACCACCATCACCACTATTACCACAACTACCACCACTACCACTTATTTACATATTGACACCTCCATAAAGATAAGCGTTAAATTTCGTTTTAAAATCCCATTATACTTAATAGGTTACCCAAACAAGAATTTTATGAAACCTAGAGCTTCAAATCCCATATTTTTGAATTTCTTTAGTACTCTTATACCCCCCCACATACAAACGTACCAAAATTATATGGTAAAAATAAATGAAAACTTTTCTCAGCAAATAAGAAGAATGTGGAATTACCCAACAACCTGCAGTCAGTTATTGTTTCTTCTTTTTAGTATGGTTTTTTATGGCAAAAGCCCGGAAGGAAATATATGAGAGAAACGATAAAGGTCTGGTGGTGACAGACTAAATTCCTCTGTTGGGTTGGAATGAGGAGTGAAAATCAGGGAGGACACTTTTGGTCCATGCTTAGCATATCTTTTCCACCAGTTCCAGCTGGAAAGGTAGAAGGAAAGAAGATAATGCATTGCGGAAAATGATGTTCCTTTAACTTTCCTAAGTTCCCTTCATGTTCAATGAAAAAGCAGATGAAGAAAGATAGTAGGAAAGTTGTCCGTGTATTACTTCTGGGGTGGAATTTTTTATTGTCAACCGTCTCACCTTATTGAGGTCCCAAGGCAATTAATAAAGTTTTAAACTTCAATTATTGGCTTTTAATTACATCTCCCTATTTTTTCATAGATCTCATACTTTGAAGTTTTGGTTTTTGTTTTTGCAGGGTTCAATAGTTGGGGAAATTTGATTTCCAGGATTTGAGTTTATCACTTGATAGTGAGTGTGCGTAGGTTTTGTATGGGTTTTGAGAAGTCTTTTCTTCATTGTGGATTTGTTTGGATTCTGAAGGATCAGAAATGAGAAAGATTGCTTTGGTGTGTAAAGTTATATATTTATGGTGAATAAAGGTGCATTCATTCTTTCCTTTTTATCTGAAATCTGTTTGTAGGAGTACAGTTGAAGATATACTTATTGGCATGTCCTTCAATAATATGATTTCACTTGTTAAGAATATGCCTTTTTGATACACTTTAACAAAAACTGGGGGGTCTACTACAAATATATGTATAAGTTTATTTTCATGGAGGGGACATGTCTTGCATGTCAAGCCAGCCAGCAAGACCAAAGGAAAAATACAAATGTTTGTGAGTTAAGTAAATATTAAAGAACAATGGGTGGGTGTTATTATAAAAAAAAATCTTAAAACAAGATGGCTTGTTTAGGAATGATTTTGTTGGCGTGTAAATTTTGTAAAAGAAGTTAATATGCTGCAAGAAACACATCATAATGATTTATAAGAGTAGGTACATGAATATTATAGGGGAGCAAAAGGCATTGTAAAAACTGATTGTACTTGCCTTTTCAAAATTATTAGAGACTCTCTCTCTCTCTCTCTCTCTCTCTCTCTCTCTCTCTCTCTATAAACACGACACGAGTGCAGCATGCCAGTGTATGGGTGTGTATTGTAAAAATTGAATTGACAATTATGCTGCAACTGTGCAGAATGCTGATTTCAAATATCGTTGGATAAGACTTGAAAGCAGTTACAGAAAGAAAAAAATAAATCTACATATTGTATATATATGCAAGTAGAATATCTGTCAGTTTGCCTAGATTTGAATTATAAATCTGTTCGAGTTCAGCCTCTTCATTAAGATGAACTTTTCTGGTACTAGTCCAATTTTGTTGATTCCAATTTTTAGAAAGGTGAACTCATTTGAATGTAACTTCATAGGAAATCAGTTATCATTATTGTGCTTATGCGATATGGTTGTTATTATTTTGGAAACTATTCTGTGTTTTCTTTTCCATTACTTCTTAAGACTTTGTCTCTATTCCTTTCGTTCTGCAAAGAGACTATTTTTACTTGTTTATATATTGACACAGGTGTGATGGAGATATCATTGTTCAAAGCACTTCTTAATAACATCTCCTCTTTTTTCCATTTATCATCCAATGACAACATAAACTTGGACCCGGTTCTGAAGTACTACAAGAGAGCAGAAGAGATATTGAAATTGTTGAAGACTGTACTTGATGCCGTTATTGATTCTGAAATAGCTTCTTATGAAGTGCTTAATAAGCCATTTGAAGAACTGGGTCACTATATTGATGAGTTGAGGGAGCAAATTGAAGACTGGCAACCGTTGTTGAGCAAAGTCAATCTTGTAAGTTACTGGTCTATTCAGTTGTAGTCTGTAATTAGAATGAATAATGTATCTGATTAAAATTGAAGGTAAATTTATCTAAAACTGACCTTTCATCGTCATAATCCTCACCATAAGTTTGACCAATACAAATTTGGGTATTCCCCTTGTTTGAATTAATATATTACTATGATATGCTTAGTGAGTTATAATGTGGTCACTTTTCCCTCCCTGCCCTGACTAAAGAAAGCACTTACTTGTTTTTTGTTTTTTTTTGTCTTGTTGCCATATCTGTTGTTCCATGAGGATTTATTAGTCTAGACAGAGCGAAGCACGAAAGAAAATGGCTATGAACAGGGCCTTGTTGCATTTATCTAGTAATGGTGGTCTCTTCATTTTGTCATTTATTCTCCCATTTGTAATCCTTGCCCTAAGATTTTCTGATTAGTCTTTCCTTTTAAGAGGATCTTAAGTTTTTGTTTTCAAGAGAGTCTAAGGTTGCTTTAGAAATGTTAGAATTGGAACTGTATGTAGCCCCAATTCTTACCTGCATTGCTAATTCTTTTAATTAGTGGCATTTAATGAATTTTAAGACGCTTTTTTTTTTCCTGATGCCTGTTTGCTTTCGTCAAATTTGAAAGTATGCATGGAGTTCTCAACACTAGATTTAGTGCACTGCTATCAGTTATGAGAAAAAGTTAAAACTTACTGAAGTTATATACTTTTGTCTTCTAATGTCCTTCCACGTGCCTATTTACATCACATCTCATAAGCATGTACTTATACACTGACAAAGTACACCAAATTAGATAATGACAAATGAACTTCCCCAAGGACAGGTATATAATGCATTTTGTTGAAGTGACAGTTTATCTAACCATCTTCTCTTTTTATGACTTGTAGGTTCTGCAAGTTGAATCTTTGATCTCAAAGATTTGGACTTCTGGTTTGGATATCTTTCAACTGTTGAAGACTTCCCAACAACATCTTCCTGATGAATTGGGTTCGGCATCTCTTGAGGTACAAAATGTGTGCAAAAAGAGTTATTAATTTTTTCCCTGTTTCATTTTGTTACGGATAGAGCATAAAACTTCGACCGAGAAAAAGACAGCATAAAACTCAGTTTCTTTAATTCATTGCTTATTAAAGAACATTGGTTAGATGAAAAACCATCAGTCAGATGGTGAAATCATTAAACACAAATTTTTGGAATGCGGAAGAAGTAATTTCTAGTCTTTCTAGTGGACTTCTAATTTGGGAGAGGTTAGGCTATATCCTTTTATGATGTCTAAGACTCACCATGGTTGTTTGCAGCATTGCATACAAAAACTTAAGAATGTGGTCGATGAACAAATGTCAACTGTCATTAAAGATTCTGTAAGTGATCAAGTGGAGGGTGTTGGACCCAGCTCAGAGATCCTAGTGAAAATTGCAGAGGGCCTTAGCTTGAGGTCAAACCAGGAGATTCTTATTGAGGCTGTAGCACTTGAAAAGTTGAAGGAGAATGCTGAACAATCAGAAAAGATTGAGGAGGCGGAGTATATTGAGCAATTGATATCCCTTGTCACCCGTATGCATGAGCGCCTTGTTACGATAAAGCAGTCCCAGAGCTGCAGTCCAGTTCCAATACCTGCTGATTTCTGCTGTCCTCTCTCTCTGGAGCTGATGACAGATCCAGTTATTGTGGCATCAGGACAAACCTATGAGAGGACTTTCATCAAGAACTGGATTGATCTAGGCCTCACCGTTTGTCCAAAGACACGGCAAACTTTGGCCCACACCAATTTGATACCTAATTACACTGTAAAGGCACTAATTGCAAATTGGTGCGAGTCAAACAATGTGAAACTGCCTGATCCCTCAAAGTCTATGGGATTAAATAAAGCAACACAACTTCTTGGACAAGCAGAACATGGTGCTCCCAAGGATTCCCCTCCTTTTCCTCATTCCAGGGGCAATCAACCAATGTCACCTGAGTCAGCTCGGTCTATGGGTTCGCCCACTAAGAACTTGTTCTCATCTGGTCCATTGCATCGGGAAAGAAGTTCGCCATTGCATCCTCGTTCTACATCAGAAGGTTCCTTGTCTGGCGTAGTTGGAAATGGGCAGGTTTTGGATATTGCCAGAATAACACTAGCAAATTCCGAAGACAGGTCTGCCAACTTAGAAGAAAGGAGTACAGATCTAGGTAGCCAACACTCTATGTCACCATCTCTAGATGAATTTCCTAATTCTATTGAAGCGGAGCAGTCATCTCAAAGCCATAATAGAACTGCCTCAGCTTCCAGCATACTTTCTAACGCCAATGGTACTCAAGGAACTCCTGTAAATGCCAATGGGGCCTTACAGGTGCCAAGCAATCTGTCAGGCTACAGCAGTGATGCTTCTGGGGAGTTGAAATCAGAACCACAAGCTGTTGCTGCGTTGGCCACCCAACAGAGAGAGACTGAGTTGCCCACCAGAATGGCAGAGGTAAGACCTCGAAGCCAAATGTGGCGGCGACCATCTGGGAGCTTAGTCCCAAGGATAGTTTCTTCTCCAGCTGTTGAAACAAGACCTGACCTTTCTGCACTTGAAGCCCAAGTTCGGAGTCTGGTTGAGGACTTGAAAAGCACTTCACTTGATACCCAAAGAGAGGCAACACTTCAAATCCGGCTACTTGCCAAGCATAATATGGATAATCGAATTGTTATTGCAAACTGTGGGGCCATTAGCTTGTTGGTGGATTTGCTCCACTCTACAGATACGAGGATTCAGGAGAATGCTGTTACAGCACTTCTTAACTTGTCGATCAATGATAACAACAAAACTGCAATTGCTACTGCCAACGCAATTGAACCTCTGATTCATGTCCTCGAGACAGGGAGTGCTGAGGCCAAGGAGAACTCAGCCGCCACTCTGTTTAGCCTTTCGGTGATTGAGGACAACAAGGTTCGCATTGGAAGGTCAGGGGCTATTGAGCCTCTAGTTGATTTATTGGGGAATGGGACTCCTAGAGGGAGGAAAGATGCAGCCACAGCTTTGTTTAATTTGTCAATTTTTCATGAGAACAAGGGTCGAATTGTTCAAGCTGGTGCTGTGAGGTACCTAGTGGAGTTGATGGACCCAGCAGCTGGAATGGTTGACAAGGCAGTTGCTGTGTTGGCTAATCTTTCAACAATTCCGGAGGGAAGGACAGCAATTGGTCAGGAGGGTGGGATCCCTGTTCTGGTTGAGGTTGTTGAGTTAGGTTCTGCAAGAGGGAAGGAGAACGCAGCTGCTGCTCTTTTACAGCTCTGCACAAATAGTAATAGATATTGCAGTATGGTACTCCAAGAAGGAGCTGTCCCCCCATTAGTGGTATTGTCACAATCTGGCACCTCAAGGGCCAAGGAAAAGGTACAGTGCCTCTAATGATGTTTGCTTCTCTCTGCCCTGGTTTATTTATTATCACAAATAATGTATTGAACCGTAGCACTTTCCATTTTCTTGCAGGCACAGACCCTCCTTAGCTACTTCAGAAACCATAGGCATGGTAATGCTGGTAGAGGATAATTTTAAAAATTAGAATGTTTGGTGTCAGCCGAGATTTTGTGTCAGCTTCTATAGATAATGTGTAAATTGGTTGGTGCAAAATAATTCAATTGAAGGTTTTCTTGTGTGGATTTAATTTGATTTGTAAAAAAGAGGAAAGACAAATGATTCATAGAGGATTTGTATGATTTCTGTAAAGTACTGCTGTGAATTTGGGAAGAAAAGTTTATACCTGCAAGTCTAGTTGTTGCTCTGTGCTCGGACAAGATGATGATGACAAATGAGAGATTTGGTATTGGTTATGTTGTGCCCCATTTGAGTATTTCATATGAACATTATATTTTAATGTGTGGTTTCGTTGATATTTCACAAGGCTGTTGGTTTTAGTTTTCTTAATGCAGCGTCTAAATGTGTTTCGGCTGCCATCAATTACTTTTTTTCTTTCTTTCAACATGCATGTTCTTTTACAACACTATTGATTTTTTAGAGAGCTGATTTTTCCACTCTCAATTTCTTTACTTACACACCCTCTTGCTTTTAAATATTTTTTAATTAATTTTGTTATTTTTAAAATCTCTCTCTCTCCTATTATACCCTGACCCTACGTTAATGTTTTGATAACTAAAATAAAGAAAAGTTAAAAATAAAAAATAAAAAAAAAGTCAGAGCGTGAATTCTGTTGGGGTATTTTTTCGTCAGAAGGCTCGTCCGGACTTGTTAATTCTTGGACCGTCATAGAGTGGTGAATCAAGCTTTCATTGCCACTTTTTCTGAGTTAGCAAGAACTAGGCCCAAAGCATCCCGAGAGAGAAGCAAGTCCCAGGGAGAGTACTCTGTTCTTCTTCCAGCGGCTGCGTGTTTTGTGCTGATGTTTCTGGCAGCTAGACGAAGAGTTGGAGATGGTGCATCGATGTTGCATAGGCTTGGTACGAGAGTTTACTTTGGTGAATCAAGATAATACTAGGCTTGTGACTTGGGAGCTAAGAGAAAATGAGCATGAAGAAATGATTAAGGTTTGAAATTTTAGGTGTTTTTGGTAGCTAGACAAAGAACTTGTGATGTCTGCGTTTTCTTACCAAAAAGGTAATGACTATGGTTTCAACTTAGCTTGAGAGGATGGGTGTTTCAGACTTGGGAGAGAGAGAGAGAGAGAGAGAGAGAGAGAGAGAGAGAGAGAGAGAGAGAGAGAGGGAGTGTGTAACAGATTTCCAGCAGCTTGACGAAAGCTTTGTCAAGCTCTTGGGTGGCTTGCCAGAAGAGAAAAAGGGGAAGAAATGGAAGATTCTAAAGGTGAGAAGTGATGCTTGCTCTCTTTGGATGTGTTTATGGGAAAGAGAGGAAGAAGATGGAAGAACACATCTTGAAATTGAAGCTTCCAGCAATGAGTAAGGATGTTGCTCACTCTGGATGAGTTGAAGATGACTTGCTGATGTTGATATGAGATTATATGAGCTTGGAATGAGAGCTTGGAGTGTGGGAGCTAAAGACCCATAAGTTTAGCAAATGAGAATGCTTGTGCTTAGCTTGGTGTTTGATATGCTTGAGTTTGGGCGTTGAGAATTTATTGTTTGTGGCTATGGCTACAGGGATTTAAAAGTTTCAAGAGAATAAGGATAGGAGGAAAAGCTTGAGGTTTGAAGGCTATGGTGTTTATAGCTTGGAAGGAATGAAAAGTTTGGAGTTATGCTTGGTGAAGCTTTATATGGAAGATGATGGATTTTAAAGAGATGAGGTAATGGCTGGGTGCTTGCAACAGCTAGGAAGGAGGTGTGATGATTGAAGAAAGGGGTTGATGGCTGCTGGGATGCTTGCAGCAGCCAAAACAAGAAGTTGTTGTGCTGCTCCAGCAGCTAAAAAAATGGCTTGATGGCTGAATAAGAAGGTTGATGACTACTGTGTTGCTTTCAGCAGCCGAATGAGGGGGCTTGATGGCTGAAGAAAAATTGGTGCCATGAATGTCAATTTATAAAGGGTGAGGGTTTTCCTTTATTTCCAATAGATAAAGAGATGTGCTGGAACCAGCCTATTTCCAATAGTTAAAAGGGAGCACTAGGGCATGCTATTTTATAGTAGGTGAAGCTAGATACCATAAATTGATCATTTCATATGGGTAAAAGGAAGTGTTGGAAAAGGCTTGTTTCTAACAGATAAAGCTAGGCATTTGGAAAATGACTATTTCTTATGGGTAAAAGGAAGTGCTTGAAAAATATTTCATTTGGTCACCCACATTGGAGAACTCCAAGTAATGAGCTTTGACTTTGGTGCTCCCAAGTAGCTAGCCCAAAGTCTCCATTATCCAAGAGCTTCCACGGGCCTTGTGGACCTTCGTAACCTTCCACACCACAATTCCTCGTGCAAGCCCCTTAAACCACATAACTTGGGTTCATGTGAGCTTGGTAGGTGATTAACATATGAAAAATGTATTATTGGCTTGACATGGCATGGACACTATTTCTATATTTATTTAATGAATTAATTCCCAATATATAGCTTGGATTAACACATGACCAATATTATATGTTATATTGGGCTTTAAATGTCTTTGGGTTTATCGTGGCTTTTTTGGGCCTCAATAAATCCAAAGAAGTTGTCACTATAGCCATCTCTCATCTTCTTGTTCAGTTAAGCCAAAAACCCTTGTTGTTGTTGAAGACCATTGCAATACTTCGGGACATGAACCTTGTAGTCACTGAAGAACCTTGTTTCCAACTTTGACCTTCACCCGGTTTTGCCCACCTATTGGGCGCATGATCTGCCTTCAACCTCACATAGTCTACAATCCCTTCTATCAATCCACCTGGAGCTTGACGATTTCAATGACACTGCCATTTATGTGTCATCTCATGGTAAAGTACCTCATTGGAATCTATTTGGTGTCCACCCCTTATGCCCTGGATACAAGCTATTAGTGAACTAATAGAAGTGTTTCTCACTAAGATCTTATGCTTAAGAGCACTTCCATCCATTTGCCATGACAAAGGGCAAAGGGAGGCAATGGCTGTTACTTTTCACGTGAATAGTGACAACCCTTGCAAAAGGCAAGGTGTGTTTCCACCCATTGCCATGGCAAAGGGCAAATATTATTTACTTTTAGTTTTTATTTTTATTTTTTTACCTAAACTATTAGCAAAAAATATTAAAAATGCAAGACATATTAATAAAATATTGAAAATGCAAGAAATATTAAAAAAAAATTTGAAAATGCAAGTAACATTACAAAAATATTGGAAATGCAAGAAACATTAAAAAAAAAATGAAAATGCAAGAAACGTGAAAAAAAATATTGGAAATGCAAGAAACATTAAAAAAAATTAGGACATTAGATTTAATAAAACCAAAATTACAAATAATTTACCTCATTGCCAAGATTTTCGCTGCTTCAATGGTTGTCCCTCGCTTTTACCAAAGCATCTCTCCATTTCCCTAACTCTTTATTCAAAAAATTTCACCTACTAGCCAATGCCATTTCCGTACGAGCCGAACCAGATCTTTCACAAATTTTGGCATGAATTTTTCTCAACATATGATAGAATTTTATCTCATTGCCCGGACAATGACCAACTTGGACCCAACACTCACATAAGAGAACATCTTTCATGGTTGTCCACGTCTCTCCGGCTTCAATGGAAGATATCATAAGATGGTGAATAAAAATGAAAATTGGAAGTGATGAAAATTGTGTAGAAAGTGAAAAATAATAGAAGGAGAAGAAAATGAATAAGGACTTGGTGTTGAAGTGAAGAACATTGGTGGGTATTTATAGAAAAATAATAATTTAAAGCCAAAAAAAAAAAAAGGATAAGTGTTGGATTTGAGGAAAAAACGATCGGAGTGACCAGAACGTGCCATGTGGCATGTTACCGTTGGCGAAAAGTAGGGCTGATGCAGCCTAGCATTAGCGCACGTAATTTCAAATGTGTGCAATGTCAAAAAAAAATTTGAATCCAGGTGCTGGCATCAGCCATGAAGTCAATAGCCCTCGAGCTAGCCCGGTTACGTGGGATCTGCAGTTTGCCCGGGCAAGCTTGGACCGTTGGGAGGCACAAAATGGCCTTGGGCCCCCTCCTGCCCTCGAGCTAGGCAACGGATGGAATTGCTTTAGTAGGCGTTTTTCCAGGTAGTAGTGGAACTTCGGGTTGTCATATAAGAATGGGAAATTTTTTCTGAGAGTTTATCATGTTTTGTTTTTGTTTTTGAGTTAGTTTCTGTGTTGGGTAATAGGTAGTGACGTAGCTACCGCGGGGTCTTGGAATCCATGGAAATGGCTGTAGAGGTTATGGTGAGCTGTTGATGTGACCCATTGGAGACGCCTACCAACTGCTCGACGAAATGTCTCACAACAGTAGCTTTGCTACGCATCCCTTATTTTTTAAAATGATTTGGCACCAAAATGATGCGAAAAAGCCATTTTGTGCTACGAATTAAAAACGATGACATTTTTTTAAAATGACTTGACGCAAAAAACAATGTCATTCAATCTAGTAGTCGTCTAAAATTTGTTTCTTTTAAAAACAAAATAAAAAACACTATCACTGCAAGGTTTATTCATAAGGCATGAGTTTTTGCAGCAGGTGGACCATATAATCTTGCCGAGATAAATATACATTGTTAATTATGTCTTATTAGATTAAAGAAAAAAAAATGCAAATTGAAAAATTAAATATAAAGAAAAATATAAAATATAAAAGTGAAGTAGAAAGAAATTAATGTAGGGTAATGGTAGAATAGGGAAAAGAGAGAACAAAAAAGAACAAAATTAATTAAAAAGTATTTTTTTAAAAACATAAGGGAGTGTAAGTTGAGAAAATGAGAGTGAAAAAATGAATCTCATTTCTTATTCGAATATTCTAACCCAAATTATAAGCAAGAAAAAAATTTACAATATATAAGGACACCAAAAGGACACGCGTAGAAAGTAAGGAAGGCCGCCTTTTTTAGCATGTAACCACGTAACGTGTCTCTTTTGTCTTCTGAAGCGTCAACCAAAGATTCAAAATGGAGCTTTCATTTGAACTTCACGCCTTTTTCTTCTTCTGCTTCTTTATTTTGGTTGAAAGACCAAGATTCATCATTCACAAATAAAAACTGAGCTGCCAACCAGATTGGCAGCAGAGGCAAGAAGACCCTTGAGGCCAAATGAGGCGGCGCCGAGCATCTGGTAGCTTAGTCCCAAAGACATCTTCTCCTGCCAGTGAAACAAGAGTAGACAATTCTGGATTAATTGAAGCCCAAGTAGGTAATCTGGTTGAGGACTTGAAAAGCACTTCTTTTGATGCTCAAAGAGATGCAACATTTGAACTCCGGCTGCTTGCAAAGCAGAGTATGGAAAATCGGATTGTTATTGCAAACTGTGGAGCCATTAGCTTGTTGGTGGACTTGCTCCGGTCTACAGACAAAAGGGTTCAAGAAAATGCTGTCACAACACTTCTGAACTTATCCATCAATGTTGAGAACAAAATTGAAATTACTGCTGCCAATGCAATTGAACCTCTGATTCATGTCCTTGAGACAGGCGGTGCTGAAGCCAAGGAAAACTCAGCTGCCACTCTCTTTAGCCTTTCGGTGATTGAGGACAACAAGGTTCGCATTGGAAGGTCAGGGGCTATTGGGCCTCTAGTTGATTTATTGGGGAATGGGACTCCCAGAGGGAGGAAAGATGCAACCACAGCTTTGTTTAGTTTGTCAATTTTTCATGAGAACCGACGTCCAATAGTTCAAGCCGGTGCCATAAAGTACCTAGTGGAGTTGATGGATCCAGCAGCTGGACTGGTTGACAAGGCAGTTGCTGTTTTAGCCAATCTTTCTACAATACCTGAGGGAAAGACAGCAATTGGTCAGGAAGGTGGGATCCCTGGTCTGGTTGAAGCTGTTGAGTTGGGTTCTGCAAGAGGGAAGGAGCATGCAGCTGCTGCTCTTCTACAGCTCTGCACAAGTAGTGACAGATATCGCCGTATGGTGCAACAAGAAGGAGCTGTTCCGCCTTTAGTGGTATTGTCACAATATGGCACCCCAAGGGCCCAAAGAAAGGTATGATGCAAAATGCTTATATATGATGGATTATTACAAGTTATGTTTAAACATAACCTTAACCAAGTTTTTGGGTTTTCTTGCAGGCACAGTCACTCCTTAGCGTCTTAAGTAAATGAGTCCTGTAAAATGCTTCTTATATGAATGTGGGAAGAATAGTTTATACCTGTGAGTCAAGCTGCTGTACTGAGCTTGGGAAAGAAGATAACAAAGGAATAATTTGGTATTATTTTGTATCTCGTGCCCCATTTGTCTAGTTCGTATTCATATCAATATATTTTCGCGCGTGCATGATTGCAGTAACACATCAAAAGGCTCTGTTACATGCTCTCTCGTTATTCTTGCAATGAAATATGTTGTCTTTGCAGGCAGTCATCCCATTTCTATAGACAAATAGATGCCGAAATAGTAGTGAATTACGTTGAGTTTGAGTAGAACTAACAATGTACAGTATACTAAGTTTTGTTGTCTGCTCAAACTGCTGCCATATTTCTTTTTAATAACTCACTCGCATGTACACAGATACAAACACAGACAAGCACAACATACCACAAACATAAATATCAGCCTCCCTGACAGCAGGAAGGGTGTAAACATTGGCCATAAGAATATTCTTCTGCATAGTAACTTGATCCAAGTAAATTGACCTGCGTAAATTCCAACACAATTTTAGCCATCCCCTTCAAAACCGTCCAAAACAACACAAATGATGGGTGCGCATTAACATTACCTTTATAATCTCACACTTGGAGCTTGGACGCGTAGAGGTTGCTAATATACTCATGTGAAAATGCTGTTACAGTGAACACAATAAAAGAAAAAGTAGCAATTTTGCATCAGTGGATATTTGGTAACAGAACATTTCCAAAGCCCTTATGAAGAAAATCATACAGAACACAACCAAAGAACTAACCATGCATCACATTTGCAGCAGAACTTACCCTGAACGGATCACCCCTTAAGGACTGCACAAATAATGAATTTCCTGACTCCTTATCCTGCAAAGGAGCAGAGTGGTGAGCACAAGTAAAAAGCTTTCCCTGTGAAAATAACAAGTTTCATCCAATAGATTACCTCCAAATAAACATCCCTAAGTCTCCTTCCAGTTTGAGCACAGCAGATGCGAACTACATCCTCATCACAACTACCACTGACAATATAGTCCCTTCCATTCATGTAATATGAACGGGTATAATTATGAGAACTTCCTGTAGAAGCTATATCAAAATTCATGTGGAGCCTCCCATCTGCTGCCAAAAGTTGCTTAACCTGGAAAGTGACAACACATAAAAGTTATCGGCTCATTTTTGCCTACAGCAATAGACCAAAGTGCATCTTACTGTACTGTACCTCATTGTCAACAGCTGAAACAAGCAAATAAAGGTCGTCAGGAGAAAAGCAAACCATCACGTTTCCTCTTGAGCTTGAAGCTGTATAGCAAGGCCGCATTGGGTTCTGTCTCAAATCCCACATCTTCACATCATGGTCAAATGATGAAGTAGCAAACATATAAGGGGAATGGTGGGCAAATTTGGCAACATTGATTGGTTCTCGGTGAATATTAGTGAACAACTGTAAACGTCTTCCACTCGCTATGTCATATAGAGCAACACCTTTTGAGTACCCACTAGCAAGAAGCTGGTCATCAGTTGAATTTACATGAAGAGAAGTCAATTGCTCGAAATCATCAAAAGTTGCAACACTAGAGCTGCAACAGGAGTCTGAAACTTCTGGTGACATATAATTGATGTCAAGCAACTTCAAGGAACCATTATCTGAACCAGCAACAAGCTATTTTTTTCAACACAAATGGGAAAATGGGTAAGAAAAACATTAACAAGGGGATTACAGATACAACTACTTTTTGCATTTGAGTAAGAGAAAAGCATCGGCAGCCCTGAGTATTATGATGGTCTATACTAGAGTTTGTATATCCATATACATGTTTGTCTCTGTGTGCATCTGCAAGTGAGCTGGCCAAACAAGCACAGCAGTAGGTCAAAGAGAACTCTGGTTTGTCCACTTTCATGATGCACCAGGATTAAGCATGAAAGAGGACTTAATCATGCCAGGTAATGCATATTAATAGTATTCCAAAGGGTTATAATAAACTTAACCACTCTCCCACAGTTATATTATATCTTAAGTTCGGGAAACATTTAGGATTCATAATACATCAAATGCACAGCCCAAGTATTATTTTAGTGTAACATTGGATTCTGGCATATTATTAGGTTTGCATTATGGTACCAGATAATATAAATTCTCTGAGAATATATGAATTACAATTTATAATGCTTTGACAAACACCAGAAACACAGCCTAGACTGTTAATGCATACAAGAAATCACATACCTTGGATGGATTTTTATTGAGCCAACAAAGCCCCATGACACTGCTCATTGCTCCTACGGAGGGGACATAACCAACAATCTTCCCATTTTCATGGTTGAGAACAACTACTTCACCATCCAGGGTTCCAAATACCATAAGACTAGGGTTTGATGGATGGTACTCAAATTGCCTTGGACGAAGCTTCTTACTCTCTGCTTTAAATGTGTGGCTAAAGTCAGACAGTGGATGTAAGAGTGGCCACATTGAAGACCCAAGTTTGGCAGCGCAAAGGGACCTTAAGAAAAAATTCTGGCCATTCCGATAAGGCTGCAGCTGTTTTGGCTTAAATGGTTTTTGGCAGTGTATACCATTTGTTCCCATTTCACGCTTATGCAAAACACTAACAACACTTTCTTTGAGCTGTCTATTATAAGGCAAATATTCATAGTATTTTGCAGAGGTCATCATGGCCAATTCCTTTTCCATCTTTCTAATAGGAAAATTATCCAAAACTTCCAAACCAGGGAGTGATGAAATCATGTAATCCCAGTAATGTTTCTCAAAGCATAGGGGTGAACGATGATGAGTTATATACTTTAATGTAATAGTGGCATTCTTAAGGTCACTCACAAGAAACCCGTCTTTTTCTTGAACCTACAATTTGCCAAAGACGTATTAAATAAACTGTTAAATCCATCACCAACAAATAGCAATTTCATAACCACATAAAATTATAATCATGCTGTGTACTTACCTCCCTCTGTAAGTTGTGCTGTCTTTGTAAATCAGGACATGGCCCAGTGTCATTGCAACACAAACAACTTTGGAACCGTAATTCCATCAAAGCAGGAAGTTTTGATAGAACGCCAGTGGTTGTCAGGAGATTTGCAATTCTTGTCTCACACATTGAGAGACGCATCAAATTTGGCATGCAAGAAAAACAGTCCTTGTGCAAACTAGCAAGTGAAGTACAAAAGTCCAGATTGAGGGTGTGTAGCCGCAAAAAGCTTCCAACAATGTTGAGTTTCTGAATATGAGTAGACCTCAAGTTGAAGACCTGGCAATCCAAGCAACCCTGGAAGAGATCCCTGGGGAGAATCCAAATCAATGGAACAAGTCAAAAGTTTTATTTATATAAGATATACAATACTACACTTGTTAATCTTGTCGTAGATTCGTTACAACAACAGACAAGTTATTTCCTAAACAAACATCGGCACATGGAATCAAGCTTCACAATCATGTAAGCTGAAAAAGTAATTCCAGAAATGAACATAAAACAATATCATACAAAAGTACATTGTGTATCCACTTAAAGACAGTATCCACATGACAAAGTTAAGAGACTTTTATTCCATTTTTATAATTGACCTCAAATGAAAGGAAATAGAAGATACTGATATTGAATGTGAAAATAACCCAACAAATAAATTCTCAAGATGTTCTGGAAATTGCTAATACATACCCTAGAAATTCGTTCCCTAACGACAAATCCTGGAGATCAACAACTTGAAGCTTTTGATTGACAGCATGTATCAAAGCCATAACATTTTCTTTAGCCAGGCCACTATCGAATTCCAGAAATATATCAACAGCATCAATATCCGCAGAGTCACTTGACATAAGTACGTTGGTAAGAGGCAAAATATCGGCATCCTTTAGCTGATCCAGCGAAATTGTTATTCTACACTTCTCATTGCCGGAGCTCTGAATTTTGACCTGAACAATTTTAAAAGAAAGTAGAAATTTAATATATAGTAAAAGCAATTTGTTAGAACACTACCAATTTTATATGATCAAAAGCAGAGCAGGTCAAAGTGAAAGAAATTTTTTTAATTTAAGACCTGACCTGAGTAAACCATGCTAGAACTGCTGAATTGGGTTGCACCTTATGCTTTTTGCAACAGTCAAGGTACCTGGCGTGAGCATCAAACAAGGGAGTTAATAAAATAAATAAATTAAAAAGAATAAAAATACTAATTTAAGTAACAAAGTCTTTACTAAAAATATAACAATTACAAAAGAGCATATGCATCAAGGCACTCTGGTCAGTTCTAGAATCGTTCCACCATCTTTTGCATTACATAACAGATCATGACTCAAATTTGGTTGGGGGGATAGAAAGCGGGTTGTCGGCAAGCGTGACGAGAAGGCAGAGTTCCTTTGTGAAATGGCAGTATGAAGCCAACGAAAACATACCAACAAAGAATTATAAATTTTTGGCCAACTTACGAGAAAAATAAATGGATGTTTGTTCTAAATCAGTGTAATTGGACATCTGGGTATCTACCAAAACAGTTTCATTCTCTGTAAACCCAGAAAGAGAGAGATATTTCAAAGTAGTCTACCAATCATCTCCTAAAATTCCCAGATAATCTGCGAGAGTTGTTTGTAGATTATAACTGGTATAATTACAAAGATGGTTAGTTTTTTTTTCTTTTTCTCAGCAGTTGGTCTTTCCTAGCTAAAATGGTGGTCAGCAATTGCTAACCGCAAAAAAAAAAAAAAAAAAAAATCATACAAAAAGCAGCAGCAGAGAGATACCGAGCTTGTAAGCTGGAGATAGCCATGCCTCCTCTGCTTCTTCTTCTTCTCCTTTCTTGTTTGGTTTTCTGAGTGCAAATCCAAATGGGAGTGTGAGTAAATAGAGAGGTCCCGTGAGACATGTGCTGATGGGACAATGTACGGAACAAGTGAAGTAGACACTCTGAAAGGAGAACCACATGTCAAAAAAGAAAGGAAACAGATAAGCACAGTGTTCACATCACCTTGGCATATTTGTCCCGCATGCTCAAATCCTACAAAACACAAAAGAGAAATGCTAGCAACTTTCTCTCTAACCTTCTCTTTTGAACTTTCTTCTTTCTCCTTATAACAAGTGTCATTTTCTTTACACTTAAAATAATATCATTAATGTATCACACAAGTTAGTTTTGGTTTTCCAAGTTTATCCTTTTAAAATATATTGGCTTTTATATTCCCTTCAATTTATTCAAATTTTGTTACAACTTCTTTAGCACATTATTAAAAATTAAATAATAATTTAAAAAGAAAAAGAAAAACGTCATATATATATACATATTAAAATAAAGTTTGTTTCAAGATGTTATTATCATCTTTATTTTGTTTTTAACAAAACACACGTTCTCTTTGGGAAAACAAAAAGTTGTAAAAAAAAAAAATAGCTTGTTATTAAAAAAATTAATACATTTAATAAGGGTAAATTTGAAAAACAAAAACTAGTTTGTATGATGCATTAATGATATTGTTTTAAGTGTAAGGAAATTGACATTTGTCATGACAAGAAGAGAGAAAGTTAGAGAAAACATTGCTAGCACTACCCAACACAAAAAGGCGGTGGCAATTCAATCCTCAAATTTTTTTTTTTTAATGCAAATAATAGTCTAAACTATATGTAGATAGATTTTTTACACACGCTACAATGGAATCATAAGATTTCAAATATAAAATTATTAGCCAGCAAGTTAGGATTTTTATCAAATAAATTAGACTCCGTTGATATAATTAACTCCATATTAAAAGAAGTCGATTGGCTTCTTAATCATGTTAGCATATTGCATTACTTTTGGATTGTATTTGTACGTGTTATCTCTAAATATCATTAACCTAGATATTTTCCATTTATTTTTCTCTGTTAGTTTTGGATGCCGACTGTAACGAACAAAATTCATGACGTGTCTTTGAATAGTGAAGAATTTGGGTGTAACGAGTTTCATACTTCACTCTCTCTGTATCTCTCTTGGTGAGAGAAAATAGGGTACAAAACTCGTTGCGGCCAAAATTTTCAGCCTCGTTTTGGGGAAGATTTTTTTTAAAAAAAGTGAAGTTTCCATGAAACTACACGTGTCGTTCCATAAATTGTATTATATCAAAAAATGACATAAGGTGGTCGTTCTTCTCATGACTAACTCAGTCTCACAGAACTTTCAAGAAAAATAAGTGGTCCCAATGGCAATGAATGATATGGGTTTTTTTTCCTCAATTATAATTGGTTGGGCTTAAAGAAAGTGACGTGTTAAAAAAAAATCATATGTAAGACAGCACAATCCTACCCTACAGGAGAAAAACGTGAAGAGATGATTTGTAGATTCAAAGTTTCTCTCCTCCAATCACCAGATCGATGTTGTTGTCGTAGTGCTCATTCTATTACAGCACTTTAAAATAGAAATATTTTTTTATATAAAAATGAATGATTTGGCAACACTTACTTTATACCATTTTGAGATTCCTTTCTCCTCAAGACAACTTTTGGAATTCAAGTATCGTTGCATCCGGAATTTTATCATTACTAATATGCACATATTTGGGTTGGGCAATTCGTTGAGCCAGTGTCTCTGTACTTAAGTTCGAATGTCTCTTTTTTTAGATTAGATTAATTTATACTATCGCTTTGTTGAAAAAAAAACAAATTAACACTACGAGTACCAACTATTATAATCCTTGGATTATTTTCATAATTTTCTTCTTTTTTGTTTACATGGGAATTTTTCAAATCATACTTGAGAGTTGTAAACAATTTTTCCATCCTCTCCCTCACCATTTAGCCTGATATGTCCACTATATTTAGCTTCATCTCCACGGTTGGTTGGAAGTAGAAATGATGACAGAATGACTTGCAGCTGGAAGGAAAAAGATTCCTGGTGCCTTCTTTCTTTCTTTCTAGTTTCTTCTGGTGTCACCAATCACATTTCATTATGTAAATGGAAAGGAAATAATGCCAGCATGCAAAATATTATAAATGGCACATAAATAAAAGGTACATATCAATGGGTTTTGATCATATCCATCCAGTGATCAATGCACCCAAAAAGGAAAAATGAATTTACCATTTTAACCTACTTAAGAACTTCTTGTTGGCCCAACCCATGGTCCTATTTACTGCTCATGCATTCAGGATGGGGTGGCGTTACAAAACCAGATTTGAAACACATTCAATATCCAAATTTAATTACAACAGTACAAATACAGAGGTAGGTTAGAAACTTTATATGATGTAAATTACTCCGCCCACCCCCCTTTTTTCACCCATCCCATCAGATTTAGAGATGCAAATCCTTGTCACTTAACAAAATTAAGATGGAGAGTGCCACTAGATCACTTTCAATCTTGAGCTGTTCCAATTAAATAGGAGAAATATCTTGACCTTTATTCGGTATGCTAGGAATGGACTTTAAATTAAACAACAGTCTAACATAGTCTAGAATAGTGTTGATTAGAAATCTCATCCAGAAGGATGAGAATAGAAGGGTTTGGACTCTACTCCAATTCAATCCAGGCCGAGCCACCACCAAAGGATGGGAATATTAAGGGTTTGGACTTTACATCCAATCCAATCCAATTCAATCCAATCCAATTCAATACAGGCCGAGCCACCACCAAAGAATGGGAATATTAAGGATTTGGACTTTACATCCAATCCAATTCAATCCAATTCAGGCCGAGCAACCAATAGAGCCTTAGGTAAGATCCAACATAAGCAATAAAACACACCGAAAGTAAAGGGGGAAGAGTAAAGTGACAGTCACCAAGACAAAGGAGCGAGTGAATTGAGATATGTCAAAAGAATACAAAGGATAAATTAATAAAAGTGGTTTTTTCAGAGAAATAAATGGTAAATAAATATGAATTCTTCTTCTAGATCTGTAATAATGAACACAACGGTGGACAAAAGATTAAAATAATAAGGACAACATTACAACAAATTAACACCGTCCTTGTTCCATTTCAGGTACCAGCAGCTCCCGATCTCAATCTCTAGAATAATGCCAAAACTGCCCATCCCAATGCAATGGATCCGACTACCTTGTGCAGGCACCTCACGGCGCCACTCTGCATTTTCAAAAGTATTTCAGAACCCAATGTATTCTAATTTATTTTAATTCACAAAATACAGAGGGTAAGTACTAATTCGATTTATTTACTATTTAATATTTACCAATAAACGACAACTATTTATTTACTCCTTTTTTTCGGTCAATAACTATTTATTTACTTCCATCATGATTCATACAGCACATGTGATTATAGTAATGACACACTCCTGACACAATGCCTGGGAGCAGGGGTAAAATTAGCGAGGGCAATTAAGTAAATTAGCAGCCAACTTTACCCACCACCAACGGTGGCGCGTGACCATGTCGTGCAGGCGCTTGGCCGTCGATGGCGGGATAACCCACCACCTACCACTCAGATCCCAGATCAACAGATCTGGATGAGATTCAAAGCATAGCGCCACCTACACGCTCTAAAGCAGCGCGAGTGAGCAAGCACAGCGAACATCACTGAAACGCAGCGTTTTGATGAGTGAGAAAAGAGGCTCTCAGCGCGAAGCAAAGACCTCGAGGGTCGGGGTTTCAGTAGAGTGAGTGGAATCCAGCCAACTAAATCAATGTTCGTAAATAACTTGGGTTGATTTTGAACCGAAAGTTCCAGATCTGGGTGCGCATTGCACCCACTGCGCATGTTAGATCTAAACTAGACAAAAATTCGAAAACAAAAATTGAACCAAATAAAATCCAGCTCAGCATTACCTGATCGTCAGCTACAGAAGGACCAGGGGTTGAAGCATCGGGGCTCGCTGCTCCAGGAGCCTCAGCCGGAGGCGCGGGTGGGCTGTCCGAAGCTGGAGTGGGAGCAGCCGCCGGAGACTTGTGCTTAGGCTTCTTCTTGCTAGGAGCTGGAGTGGGAGCCTCAGGTGTAGTCGGTGGCTCAACAACTGGAGCCGGAGCGGCTGCCGGAGGAGATTTAGCCGGTGGGGAGCTGGCCGGAGCCTTAGAAGGTGGTGAGCTCACTGGAGCTGGCAATGGAGGTGAAACGGCAACAGGAGGAGTAGCCACCGGAGTTGGAGCCGCGGCCGCAGGCTTGGGAGTTGCCGACACCGGAGTTGAAGCGGGTGGAGCCGATTTGGGGGAAGCGACTGGAGATGGTGACTTGGGCTTTGTAGGAGCTGCAGCTGGTGGTGAAGTGGTGGGTGTGGTTGCAACTGGTGGTGGAGTGGTAGGTGTGGTTGCAGCTGGTGGTGAAGTAGTGGGTGTGGTTGCAGCTGGCGTCGCCGGAGACTTCGTCGGCGCGGCTGCCGGAGCTTGGCCTCCGACTCCGGCGACGAGAATGCAGACGAGTGCGATTGTGAACACGTTGTTACGCTCCATCTCTATCGATGACAATGGAAATCAAACAGAAATATAGAGAGAGAGAGAGAGAGAGAGAGAGAGAGAGAGTGCGAGTGGGAAACGATGAGAGAGTTATATATATAGTCCGGATCTCAACGGGAAGAAACAGAGGTTTAATCTGGAGCGTACATCAAGCGGGACCCTGTTCTAGATGGGTTAGGATTTAGCCGTTGGATGAACGAACAAAGACGAAAAGAAGGTTCGGCCTCTTTTCCGGGGCCCATAAAACAGGCCATGTATGTAAGTAATGTGGCGCTAGACTAGACACAGTCTGGCTGGGGCCCATTTGGGTTCATGTGCCACGCCCACGAATTGATACTTTGGGCTTTGGCTGTGACATTAAAACGCGGGGTTTTTTATTTTTTATTTTTTATCACTTCGGCTGCATAAATAAATAATTTTTTATTTCTAAGAATTTTTTTAATTAAAAAAGACGATAATATATTAAATTCACACTCATTATATAATTGCTAAGACTCAAATTTAGGATCTTTAATGGGGGAAGCAAACTCGAACCCAAGACATTTCCTAGACAGAAAAATTACTCCAAATCACTACATTAGTGAGTCATTTACAGATAAATATTTTTAATCACTCAAGTTATAAGTCATTATTTAATAAATAAATAAATAAAACCATAAGTCCTTGTAAGGTTTTTTTATTATTTAGTTTTTATAGAACATTGTGGGTTTTTTTTATACAGCTGGATTGTTTAAAGGTGGGGTCCTTTGCCAGTTTGACAAACCAATAACCGGCGGCCACATGAGGCGTCGTGGCAATAATTGCGTGGTGATTTGGTAAGTTTAGAGGATTATCGGAGCACCGCCAAATTTGTGGGTCCCGCGAAATGTTGCCTGTCCGTGCTTTTGTAACGCACATTTTTGCCTGTAGGCTGTACCAGGAAGGATTCTTTCCCCTTTTTTTTTCTTTTCTTACAGAAAATTAGTATATTTTCTAACTTTTTCTTTCTTTTATTTTTTAATAATAATAATAATAGCAATCAGGATGAGCTGGTTTTGTTACTATGCTTGACATGACATGGAAGACAATGAGGACTGAGCTGGAGAAGTTGGCACACATTCGATTTCCATACATGGCTTGATGATACTTGCATGTTCGGTAGTTCAAATGCTAAGCCAAAACCACAAGTACGCAAAGTCTGTGATTGGTTTGTATTTTTGGTCAAATGGAATCGAAGCAACGTATCCTTTTCTATATAGTAAATCCTGGCAGTACATGAGGATAATTCGGTACGGTCATTATGAGAAAAAAAATGTAATTAGATACGTAAGAAGTAGTTGGTTTCTAATTTTGTTTGAATAATTAGTTGGGGGTTAGATACAATGCATTTGAAATAATTACATATGATATTTGGGATTTCAAAGGACGAGATACGATTAATCATTTGAAATTAATGGATTTCTTCTTTTGTATTCCAATACAAATATTTATTTACTGTTACTACTAGGCCAGTGAAGCAAGAGCTTTTTAAGATATTTTAGTTTATTTGTCTAATTGGTCTTAATAAGGCAACCACCTCAAAACTCAAATTTCTTACTCAGAAAAACTTGGTAAATTCATTTCACTTTAGATAAAGTACAAGAATTTGTAGCTCAAGTAGTTAAGAGCATTTATCTTTACACTCGAGATCCTAAGTTAGATTTTCCCTCTCTTAATATCGCTTATATATAATCAAATATATATATATATAATTCAGTTTAAGGATGAACTGACTCTTAATTTTGGTTTTACTTTTATTCCAATATTAGAAGATATCTCAAATTCAAATTTCCTCGTCCGAAATGATTAAGAATAAACTTTAAATAAAGTGTCCCAAGAGGCATAATTTGTTGGGTTAAACTTAAATCCATCCATCATCCGAATACCCAACAATTCTACATGACAAACTTGTGTGTTAACTTAAAATCCAAAAAGAAGTTCACGGGGCTATGAGTTGGAATCGATCCCAGATTTTAAAAATCAATAATATTCATAAGCAACCACCATGAGATTGTCTGTTAGGTTTTATAATTAGTTTAAGGATTAATTACTTTTTAACTTTAAATACCCTGGAGTGTAGTGAGTAAATGTAGAATTCATTAGAAATCTAATTGGGTGTGGTGATTAAAATTTCCAGAAGTATCAACAACTTTGTAGGGACTTTCTAGAGCCCAAGGCCCACCTTCTAGAAGCCCAGTTTTTCTTTTGGATCTGCTGTTTTGTTAAAAACACTGGTCGGATCATAACCCAGAAAATTTTCCGCCTCGTCCTCTCTCTCGCTCTGCCTCTCTGTGGGCGGTATTGTAGGCAAGGTGGAAATCTGATTTCTACCTGTGTCTCAGCTTTTATCTTATGTATGATGAGTCTGGTTTGTATTTTTGGTTCACCTCCAGTCTCTCATTTTCTCTTTATCATTAAGTTTGATGCCTATTAATGGGTTGGGTTATGAGTTTTGGTGTGTTAATGGGTTGGGTTATTTAGTTCTTGTATTAAAGGATTCGGTTGTCAATGTGAGTTTGTTTTGTTAATGGGTTGGGTTATCAATGGTTTTATTTAACAAATTGTTAATAGGTCTTTTAGTGTATTAATGGGTTGTACTTAACATGTGTGAAAGTTCTACTTTAAAATTCTTTCCCTTTAATAATAAAATTCAAAATTCACTTGTGTTAACAGATATATATAGAGTTTTGAGAGGAAGCGGTAGGTTTCTTTCCATTCAATTGAAAAGAGTGTGTATAAAAGGGCATGAAAAAGTGGTCTCGTTAAAACTTCTCGAGGAAAACCACGTGGGATAAAACCCCATAATAGGAAAGAGTATCACGTGAGATAAAACCAGTATATAACTCTTGGACATTTTTCTCTTATAAGCTGGTTTTGTAGGGAGAAGTTCCATCACCACGTCGGTCTCATATCAAGCAATATCTCCTATTCACGTTGGAGAAACTAGATGCATGCGCAGGCAATTGTTTAACAACCGTGTTTGAATATATTCCTTATAATTTGGCAAGCTTTTCACCGGAAAATATGTCACGCTATCTTCCCACTAGCAGCCGATGGATCTCCAACGTGTAGTGCTCGTGGAACAACGCCAAACTAAAGTACTAGGACATGCATGCATCCTGAATCTCGATGCAAATAAATATCAACAAGTTTGAACTTTGAACTATAAACAACCATAAATCATGACTACATAAATATATATATATAATCAATGTAAAAGGCATTCAGAATGCGCACTTTGTCATTGGCAGAATATGCATTATTAAACCTAGTTAGCACAAAGTGCTAAACTATGCTATCTAGCTAATGCTTATTGTTAGATTTTGCATAATGATATATATGTATATATAGCCGCATTTTCTTGAGACCAACCCAGTTGTACTTGCAGCATTTTATTTGGTGAGTTCCACTCTGCTTTTCTGAGTTCAGCTGACTTGTATACATCCAAAGCTCAAAAAGCCTGCACATCTGCAGAGCAGTATATATATAATAAAATTCTAATACCCATTGTTGATTGGCTTGTTATGGAGGGGACCAAAGTTGCTTGCTTGACTTTGAAGCTATAGATATAGAAGCAGATGGGGTATATCATGGCAGGAGCAACCCTTTTGGTTTTAGGGTCACCCTTTATGCAGAATCATAATATAGTGGCTAGCTAGTCCACTGCTGTGCCTTTTTCTTTTTTTGAATTTCAAATTATTTGGTTAATTCACTATGCAGATAATCCTGAAATGGGATCATGGTACTTTGTCTCCATTTAGTAAGAGACACTTGGTTGAGCTAATCTCTCAGTGCTTAACATGCAGCTGCCCAATTAATTACAGCTTCAGATAAGATGTTGAGAAAATTCAGAAAATGAAAGAGAAGGAGGCATGCCATCCAAAAACACCCCTTTTGAGAAAACGTGACTTTGGATCAAAAGGACAAAGTACTCCTGGCCAATCAATGATCAGTGTGCAGGTGGTTCCGGAGAATGGAACTGGTAGTCATCATCCTCTTCTCCTTATTTGGTTTTAAATTGAAAATATAGGGAATTGTTATTCACACTCCTAGTTTGTCATTCTGTACTTTTGAAAATCGATATTTTGTTATTTTAGTAGGCTCAGAAAAGAGTGTAGGATGACAGACTAGACGACTCGAGTAAGAGTGTAGAATGACAAATTAGGAGTGTGTGGAACATCTAATATAAATTTTCAAAACTCATGGTGTTTGGATCTGATGTCAGAAGCAATGATGTGGACCAGTTGTTGTAGAGTACGTAGCAATGTGTACTTCCTCTCTACCCCACCTCTTTCTTCATTTACAATAAACCTTTTGCACTCTTTGCTCTCATAGTCTTGCCATGTTCATCTAAGTTCATTTCTGCAATACCAGAACTCTACCAAACTAAGTTTTTCTTCTTGCGATGCCAATTGTATACACCCAAAAACCTATTTAAACTCCTCAAACAAAATCATGAAATCACAATTCCAGAAGAAGACCACCAAGAACACAGAGTCAGTGTGCAGTAAACCTTCTTGTTTCTTCTGCACCATGAATGAGCCAGACCCCTCTCTCAGAAAAGCTAGAATCATCAAAGCCTTCCAAGATTTGCCTCTCAGGAATGACCAAGAACATGTCCTTGCACTAAGCAGCCTCTGGAACATAGCCATGATGCAGCCTAATGACCCTGAATTCCCATCTCTTGGAATCTTTGAATGCATGGCAAAGCTTATTCACAAAGGCGTCAATGACAAAAAGTGGCTGCTAAGTGACCAGAACATCTATATCCCCTACTATGCAGCCCATACTATTGGCTCTTACACCATGAACAAGGTTCAATTTGCAGAGAAGGCTGTAGAATCAGGGGTGGTTTTTCCATTAATTGAGCTGATGAGAGGTAAGATCACCTGGGTGGAGCAACGAGTGGCGGTTCGGGCTCTTGCTCATATAGCGAGCCATGAAGAGATCTTTGAAGAAGCCATTGGTGTAAATGAAGTGGAGATTGTAGAATCAGCCATGGAGATGGCCATGACCTGCCTCAAAGAGGTGTTTGATAAGTTTGTTGGCTTGGAACATTCAAAAAGATTGAAGTACCAGTGTGATTTGGTGACGAGAGGGCTTGGAGGGTTGGAGATTGAGGACAGAAAGGCAGAGGAATGGGCTAGCCAGCTTCAGTGCTGGTCTCTCAATCTTCTCAATTGCTTTGCATGCAAAGAAAAGTCTCTGAATTTAATCTGCAACAGAGAATTCTTGATTGAATTGTGTGGAATGTGGGGTGGTTTGGCAAACCCAACTTCACCTGCTGTGATTAGGCTGTTGAGATCACTTTGTCAAACCAAAATTGGAAGACAAAGTGTAGCAAATTTACAAGAAGTCATAAAGGCACTCTGCAACCTCTCAAGGTCCTCAGATGATTGGCAGCTGATGGCCATTGATTGTCTTCTGCTACTCCTCAAAGACCCGGAAACCAGACACAAAGCCATGGAGATTTCAGTTGTGTTTCTTGTTGATCTGGTTGAGCTTAGAAGTATTGGAGGAAGACCAAAGGTTGGAGACACAATCACACAGGCTCTCTTACAAGATTACCATAAAATCAAGTATGGGGACTTGAAATTCCAGAGGAAGAAAGTTGAGAGAGCTTTGAAGGAGACATGGGATTTGAAGGTTGACAGAAAAAGGAGGGAGAAGTTAATGTCTGAACAAGAAATCAGAGAGAGAAAATCAATGGTGAGACAGCTCAAACAAGAAGGAAATCTAAACTTCTGGTCAGGGAACATAGAAAAGGCTGTGATGGAGTACACAGAAGCCATGCATATGTGCCCATTAAAGATGAGAAAAGACAGGCTTGTGCTGCATAGCAACAGAGCTCAGTGTTACTTGCTGCTGAGGAACCCAGAGGCTGTCATCAGTGATACAACCAGAGCTCTGTGCTTATCCAGTGCAGTGAGCCCTCATGGTAAGAGCCTGTGGAGAAGATCACAGGCTTATGACATGAAAGGGTTGGCAAAAGAGAGCTTGATTGACTGCGTAACATTTGTTCATGGCCGTATGAAGTCCGGCCAAACCGAAAGGGCAGAAATCCCAAGCTACGCGGCACGTATGATTAACAAGCAGATGAATAAAACTTGGTTATTTGCTCCTGCCAAGTCCAGGAGTTTTAACAACCATGAAGAGTTAATAGAATCTCATGGCCACGGTGAGTCTCTTAATTAAGCACATTCTATTAATCTTTGCTTGCTAACATTACTCTTTTCTTTTTTGGGAAAGCCGAATACCAATCTACATTAATTGATACATTGTCGATGTTATAATTGTTTTCTTCTTTTGGAAAGCCTATACCAATCTACAGTAATTGCTCCGTGGTTGATATTTAGTAATAGCGAGAATATATCACTTTATAATATCTAATTCAATGTTGACATTTGGTAATATCGACAATGTATCACTTTACTGTATCTAATTCAATGTCGATATCTAGTAATACCCACAAGTATTACTTTGACGTTATCTACTTCAATGCCGATATTTGATAATATCAACAATGTATCAGATACTGTAGATTGATACTAGATACTAGTCAATAACCGCCTCTTTATTTTTTAGCTAAGCCCTCATAAATATTCATTTCTTTTACAGGTAGGCTTACCATCGCAGACGAAACGTTTGCTGAAAAAAGATGGAGAAAGCTAGAAAGGGAAAGAAGAAGAGAAAAAGGTGTAAATGTCACAGAAAGGATGGGAAGTTTGAAAATTGGGTAAGGGAAGAGAGGCCTTATCAAATTTCTATGTACACCAAAATTAGGAGGTGTAAGAAGACAAGATATCAATAAACCCAACTCCATGCGCCTTTAAACTCTGGCTTCTCGATATTCATGAGAACACCTGGTGTCCATGGGTACCATGCAACTGTGGAAAAAAACAGACACTCTCTACCTGCTTCTGGACAGAGTGGCAGTAGTGGGTACCACGCTTTTTGACCATGATGCCCTTGATCTTTTGGGCATGAGCTCAAAATTAGGAGGGGGAAAACCTTTTTGGGGATTGTTGCTTTGACAAATTTTGCTTGTGCTTGTTCAAATACTGTCAAAATCTGAATTATAAAAAGTTGTCAAATAGCAGCATTTCATAGGTATTATTTACTATTATATTATATGACTTTTTCCTGTCTTCTTTTTTTTTTTTTGCTTTTTTTTTAATGACATGGATTGCATTATCTCATTTACTTTTACATTCTGTGTATTTTTTTATGATACTAGATTCAGATTTTCCATTAATTGATGGGATATTGTCACATGAACTCTTGGACATATTCTGTTTGACAAAAACAAAAAAAGTCGACATCAACCTCTCTATTCTTTTCCTCCAACGTTTCAGATTAGATTAGAAACTACTTTCTTTCACTTTACCAAATGATTAACCATTATAAAACCTTCTAGTAACAGAAAGTCCTTCCTAACCCGTATCAGATTTGGTCTATATGGGATCTTGCCTTACCTAATTGTCATTGCGCTCTTACGTTAGCAAAAGCTAAATGATTGCTGCACAATTATACGCCAGATTACAAAGCAAAGATGGGAGACTCTGGAACCAGATTGAGATATGCTAACAGCCTTCCACCTGTTTCTTAGAACAGCATCACTAATCAGATGGGTCAGTAGCGTACATCTTCAGTTAGATATGCAAAAACATCTTTGATTGCACTGCATTTGTTTGGCCGGGTAAAACCCATTTCTCCAGCAACAGAATTATATGGCATCCCATTCCATATCGGCTTCATTAGTCTAGGTTCGTTTGGTTCAAGGTTTAGAAACTCCAAAATAAATTCGATGTATGTTGGCGAAAACTGGAATAACAAAAATTGATAATCAAATCTCAGTACAACTTCAGGAGAAACTGAAATTCATTTTCATACAAGTAATATTATGTAATAGTATTACTACAAGCACCAACCTAAAAAACAAAAACCACAGTTTAAATACCAAGTGATGAGCCAGATGACAGTATGTAATGGAAATATATGAGATACACATGAATTTGAGAAATTTTGACTCTGATAGCACATTCTAATTAACTAAGGTTTAACCAATAAATATTCCCAACTTTTTTTAATTTAAAAAAAAAAAAGGAAAAAAAATATATGACAATGTCAAAATGTCAACTATCCACGGTGAATTAAAAACATGGATTCCAAATTTATTGTGATGAATTAACGTACAACAAATAAAGGGGAAACATTTTTATTTGAAAAATTACAATTTCATCATTCTAGAAAACTGTACAACAAATAAACATACAGCATGCATACGAGTTTACATTGGTATAAACCGGTGTAAGATTTGCAGATATCTTGCCTCAAATTGACTCAGCTCTGCATAAACAGGAAAAAACGCAACGTCAATTTCAGAAAGTCAGCACAAAATTCTTAGGTGATCAAAATAACATTAAGAGTGCCAAAGGAACACTGGGTCATTGCTAAGTCTTCCTAGCTGATTACAATTCAAACTTATTTCTAAGAAATGCCAGATTTGGTACAATGCCTAATACGACAATGCGTACACTGACACGGCAGCTTCAACTCTCGCAGAAGGCATATCATGCGTGTAAATTATGTGTGACACAGTGAACTCACCTCTTCGGGACTTTTAGAAGCCCCATCGTCCCAAGTGCTCAGAGCAGCAACAACTGAACCTGTTGTGGCTAGAATCGATCCCACATCAGGATAATCTTTCCAGGATGTTGTTGCCTTCAGAGATGGATACAACCAATTCTTCGTCGAGTCCACGAAAGAAGTTGGATCAAAGTTCAGAATGGCGTCCCAATCCACCTGTAAACCTTGTGGGATACTTCCTGTGAACTCCATATTAGCAGCAAGAAGTAATCCCAGCATAACCACAAACCCAACTGCTGCAGAGCCTCTCGAAAGCGGCATAAAATTGTACCTGAAAAAGCGAAAATGTATAGATACTCCTTATTTAGAACTATATATTTTGTGAATGACAAACATGATGTAACCATGCATCAAGGTCAAATGTTATACCAGTAATACGTCATCCTTAAAATTGCATCTCTCACATTTTCAAGCACACTGGAGTCAGTAGACCCATAATTTTCACCGCAATAAGCATTGCATATAGCCTGCCAATACATAGTCCATATATGCAAACATTAGCAATTTATTCAACCAAAGAATTATTTGAAAAAAAATACAACAAAAGATTGCTGACACACTGAATGAAAGACAAACAATAGTATAAACAAATCTGCCTGTTAGCACCTCTAGTCAAAAGGTTTTCTCACTAGCACCAGCCTAAAGGTCCCTTTTATCCAGATTCAGAAGACTCGCCATTAAAGAAAAACAAATGTTGATTGCATCCTAAGGATCTGCTTAAGCAGGACATGGTGGCCAAATAAATGTATGGTAGGAATATCTCAAGTACCAATTGTATCAAGTAGTTTATCAGGTATGGGCAATGAAAAAAGTAGTTTATCAGGAACTAGGGATTACTAGGGCTAAGAGTCTTGCATTATCCAAGAAGGATCTTGAATAACTCTTACAGGGCATCAGTTTTGGGTAAAGTGAAATGAGAGTTCACAAGGTTTGTAGGGATATGTGGGAGAGTGGAATAACACTTTGGAACATGTTTTGTTTAATGGCTCAGGTTAGGGTTCAGATTGAATGTCAAGCATTCTCATCTTTTCCTTATTAAGTTTTTTTAGTGAATTTTCTCTTTTCATAGGTAAGGATTAGCTAAACCACCTTCACTAGATATTCGTACGAGTATATTTCACTGGCCAACACAATGCTTGGGAAGATTCTACACATGCAAAACAAAGGAATGGTAAAGGTACTAGAAGCGCTTCTCATGTCTCATATTGTGATATTTGTTCTTCCAATACAAATATATCACGTATTGTATATCAAGGATCCAAGAAAGCGGCTCGACCCATGTTAGATTACCGGCATCTATTGAAAAAAATAGAGTATGGAAATAAATTACAATAAAAAATTGTTGGCTCGCATAGATGGGTGTAGGGTAACATACTTCCCATGCCTTAGCCATTTCTGCATCAAATTCGTCCCATCTTGAAGGTGTACAAGGTGTTCTGATTGCAAAGTCATATCTATTCTCCCCCCTGGAAAAATCATTTAATGCATCCAGAATTAAGAAAATAAAAAGGACTAAATAAGATGGGGAAAATAAAATAAAATTAGAAAATGAAAAAGGAAAAAGAGAATGTTGCAAGCCGAGGTGTAAAAGACTACGTTTTTACTAGGGTAATCCGCGTCCCTTCAAGATATTTCCTGTAACAAGCAGGAACAATCAGAACTAGGCATGACATGCAATTAAAATGCAAGGAAATCAATTTTAAAATGATATGCATTGTTACCCCTCAAAGGCAGTACTATTGCACCAAGTAGACAACCAGAAGTCCTCACCAACTGCTCTGTGTAAATCAGCACAAGATTTTGCTTCCAAAATCTGCATGAATATAATTATGTGAGTGAAACAATTATTTACATATGAAAAAAATAATTGTTCAACGAAGGTTATACATGCAAAAGAAAAGCAAACAAAAAAAAATATGATTAAAAGTGACAATATAATACAGGAAAAGGATACAATAGTCTTCAAGTAATAAAATAAGATTTTCAAGAGTAAAAATAAAGGATTGGTGAACTCACATCTTTCAATTTCCCATCCCTGGATAGATCAATAAGGTTATCAACCTTATTATACACATATGACCTCTCCTTCATGACAGTTTTTGCAACATCTAATGTTCTGCCACATTGACAAGTGATGAGGGGGGGATAGAGCATTGTTTAAACAGTTCCATACTAAATGGAAGCATTATAGACCTTCACCTTTCAAAATTTGGGAAGTAGCGAACAACTTTTGCTTGTCCAAGGATCAATGGTGTATGAGACCCAAATCCAGCATTAAACTCTTCACTGAGTTGAGTAGAAATCCATGTTCACATTAGAAAACAGCATAGGAAAATATTTGACTATCTTATTTAACCATTCAAATGAAAATCAGAGCGAAACTCAATCCAAACATGATGTCATGTTGGCTATTGAGCATGGAAATGATTTATAAATTAAAAATACAATGGAATACCTTAGCTTGTTAATCCACACAACAGGGTCACAAGGTTCTGAAATCTGCCGCCATTTGACAGCTACTGAATAAACATCATGCCATGACATCATAGAGCGTGCGGATGAATTAGCTTCTGTAATGCCATATGAAGTGGAGGTCTCTGATGAGCTACTCGTACTACAACCAGCACCGCCTC